AAATATAACAGTAAACAGTCTTAAACAGTTAGGGCTAGTAGTATTCCTGCTAGATTAGTTTAAGTGTTTTCTCTTAGCTAGAGTAGCCTCTTAATAGAGAATTATAGACTGTTTGTAGAATCTTAATCTTAAGTTTGTTGCTATTAGGTATTACTAACTTATTGCGATAGTAGAGGCGACTCTTATAGTCTTCGCAGTTACTAAGTGTAACTGTCTTAGACTGTTATGCGCTGTTGCGTAGTAGCTTTAGCGTTTTTTAAATAAACAAGTCTTTAGGTAGCCTATTGCCTATAGAATAGTACTTATTGTTAATAATCTACTAGATAGATCTATCTGTCTCTACTAGTCTAATTGCTACGGGTTCTTAAAACAGGTTAGGACGCAGTAGGGTCTGTTTCTAAGCTTATCTTGCTTCCTTCTAAGCAAGCTAGTTCTAAGAGTGACGGGTAAGAGCGTTAGGCTTCTTACTATGCTTGCTAGGTTAGTATGTAATTGTAAACTAGAATTGTGATAGGTATTTAGACTAGCAGGCTTAATAGTAGCTTAGTTACTTTGTAGTAGCGAAGTACTGTAGGTTCTTATAGTCGCTAAGCACGTTAATTAGGAAGACAGCGCCTTCTAATTCTAGTCTCTACTATTTAAAATAGTAAATAATAGCAAGTAGCTCCTTGTTGTAGATCTTGTAGTTGTTCTTAGCGGGGTTTATTCTTTTTAAGTAGTACGCAACTAGACAGAGAACGCTGTTAGGTCTAGATTAGGACAGCACTCCTGCTGTAACATAGTTAGAAGCGTTGGCTTTAATAACAATTAGCAGGTCTGGGTTAAAGTGTTGTAATATTAGTGTAGTAGTGAAGGCATGCTTTAAAGCATTAAAAGCCTTCTAGTAGTTGTTATTAAAGAGGAACTTAGTATTCTTCTTAGTTAGCGCTACTAGCGGAGTAGCTAGGTAGGAGAAACTGTCTATAAACTATTAGTAGAAGTTTGCGAAGCCTAGAAATGCTCTAATGTTCTTAACGTTGTTTGGGTACTTCTAATTTACAATAGCTTGCACCTTCTTTAGATCTATTTGTATTCTGTCTACTCTAACTACATAGCTAAGGTAAGTTACCTTAGTCTAGTAAAACTCGCATTTATCTACGTCTAGTTAGAGTCCGGCTTCTTAAAGGGCGTTTAGAATAGATTGTATATGCTTCTTATGTTTATAGAGATTCTTACTGTAAATTAGAATATTATTAAGGTAGGCTGTGCAGAAGATGTCTAGGAACGGGCGTAGTATATTGTTTATAAAGTATTAGAACGTGCTTAGCGCATTAGCTAGTCTAAAGGGTATTACTAGGTATTTAAACAACCTATATTGAGTGCGGAAGGCTGTTAGCTATTTGTCTTCTTTAGCAATTCTTAATTAGTTAAAGGCAGTAATAATATTAAGCTTTATGTAATACTTAGCCTTGCTTAGTTAGCTTAAGGTCTCTTAGATTAACGGGATTAGGTAATAGTTCTTAATAGTAGTAGCGTTTAAGGTACAGTAATTAACGCAGAAGCGTAGTCTGCCGCTAGGTTTCTTAATAAAGATAATAAGGGAGGTAACTAAGAAGGAGCTTACGCGAATAAATCTCTTTAATAGGTAATCTTTAAGATACTTGCGCAACACTTTAAGTTTGTTCTAAGACATGCTATATAGTAGGCTAAACTTGTGCTGTTTACTAAGTATTAGTTTAATCTTGTAGTTGTAAGGCTGTTGTATAGGTAGCTTATTAGACTCTTCTTGTAAAAAGACGTCTATTAGGTTATGATACTTCTAAGGAACTTTTGTGAGTGGATTAGTGTGCTTCTTCTTAGTTAGTGCCTTATTAATGTTAGCAATGCTAATAGTATAGATTTTATAGCCTCTTTTGCGTGCTAGGCTTATAAATAGAGCAGCACCTATATAGTAGATGTTAAGTTCTAGCTGCAACTTTAATGAGTTGTTCTGCTTGTCTGTTAGCTAGGCACTATTAGGGTTAGGTACAGGTTTAGGTATAAGTTTGTTTAACTAGCGCTTTATCTTAGGTAGCTAGTAGTTGTGCTGTTGTTGTGGCATATGCTTAAGTTTTAGGTTTTAAGAGTAGGCTTTATTATGTCTATTGTTGCTCTACTATACCTTAGAAGAGAGAACAGAAGTTCTAGTAGTTCTAAGACAACGTTCTTTACATTATTAAGCGGTGAAGATTAGTCTTTTCTTGTTGTAGTCTAGGTTTACTTAGTGCTTGTTTATCTAGGGTTGGCTAAGTATTAAATTATAACAGCTAGTGTTTGTAACGTAGAGTTGTATAGATTTATTGTAATTGTTATATTATAGCTTTAGAGTAATAGTGTAAGACACTTCTCTACTGTTAAGTATAGTTTTAGTAAATCTAGTTAGGTAAATAACGTAGAGTAGTAGGTCTTAACGTAGTTTTAGGTTGCGCGCGAGGTCTCTATAAATGTATCTAATACTAGTAGCTCTAGTATTAACTAAGGCTTTAAGGTTACTCTTAACACCGCCTTATTAAACTGTATAAGGTATTGTAATACAACGTTTCTAGGTATTAGTCTAAGATTTAGACTAGAGTTTAGTAGAGATTTAGTAGGTGCGCAGTCCTAGAGAGCGACTTATCCTTAGGACAAGGCTTTTCCCTTCTAGAATTAGTTATAAGAACGTTGTTCTTGGGATCGCAAAGATCGCAAGAATCCTAACAAGATAGAACTAGTAGACTAGGTATAGTTGTGGTTACGCGCGCTATAGAATTAGATATGCTAAGTAGGTAGAGGAGCGCTGCAATCCTTAGAGATATAACCTTTCTAGTTGCACTTAAAGTAGTAGCCTTTCTTAATTCTCTTCTGTTGTTTAGAGGAACTAGCGGGGGCGTATACTAATGCGTCTATCTCTATTGCGTTAGGGTAGATTATAGAGTAGCGTCGTAGGTAGTCTAGTAGGAAACAGAGGTTATTATTGTATGTAGATATTAGGTTAGCGTAATTGTTAAGGTCGCTAGGCAAGGCTTCTCTAACTATTGCACGTTAAAGTTTGTAGGATAGAGAGTTCTAGAGGGACGTAATTAGGCTAATCTTATTTAACCTAGTGTTAGCAGCTAGTTGTTAGAATTCGGCGAAGTGGGAGGTAAAGCTGCGCTTTTCTTAACAGAGTCCGCTTAATTAACTAAGAGCTGTTAGCTCCTTGTTTAGGTCTCTGTAGGTAGCTTTAAGAAAGGTAATAAGCTAGTCTACATTATAGATATTCTTGTCTATAAGCAGGTTGATAAGAGCTACTACGTCCTTCTTAAGTCTAGAGTAAGCGTATAGCAGGCGGGATCTTTTATTTAGGTATTAGTCTGCGTTTCTCTTAAGCTTGTACCTAAGCTTGTAGACAAAGGCAGAGAGGTTCTTTTGTTAGCTATTAAACAGAGGCGGGTTAGGCAGATAGTTAGTTTAGGGAAGGTTCTTTAGGTTCGCGTTAGGCAGCGTTGTAGGATTTGAGCTAATTCTAGATAGCTCTTCTAGACAAACTTAATCTCTCTTAGCGCTAGTTTAAGTAATAGCTAGGGTAGTAGTAGAAGTAGACCTAGTCTTAATAGACTTAAGCTCTTAGCGAAGCTCTAGAATCTATTAAGAGTGTTAGTTTTCTTGTTTAGCTAGATTAGCAAGTAGTGCTTTATTGCTAGCTTTTAATGCAGCGGAATTAGCTTAGATAGCATTTAGCTAATTTAGGATTAATTGCAACGCGTTAGGTTACTCTTAAGTAGTTATAGTAGTGTGACGCAACGTAATGTTACAAGACGCTATAAGCACGTGTTTAAGAGCTTATAAGAAGCGTTAATTATAGCTACGTATAATATCTAGTGTAATACAAGACGTTGCGTAAGGAATAGAACAGAATACAAAGTAGTAAAAGATATAGCTAGGGCTGTGCGCGGCGCTTAGGCCTTAGCTAGCTAATTAATAGATTTCGGGTAGACTAGCGAGCTACCCGAAATCTGTGCGTTTAGGTGTTAGGGGAACTACGGTAGTTACCGTAACACTACTCTATATTAACACTCTACTATAATAGAGCGCGTTATAATTACGCGCGTAAAAATAGTTATCTTAGTAATTATAGAATATAGCGTAAAGTTATAAAGCGTAAATCTAGACTTATATTAGAGATTTTTAAGTTTACTATTAGGTCTAATATAGTAACGCGTTATTACGTAATTAAGTTATTATATAATAATTACGTAATTCTAAAATAAGTATACTATAAGCTCTATCTCTTAGGTCTAGAAGAGAAAACTAGTCTTATTTATAGTTTAACTATTCTTAGAGACTAATATAAGCTAGTTCTAAGGTATAGTATTCTCTTTATATTAAGTAGAGAGGTAATAGTACTCTTTAATAATATAGTGTAAAATAGTCTATTCTATTATATTAATACTCTAAATAACTATAGTCTACTTATAATTACTTAGCTAGACTAACTTTAGCTATTCTTACTTCTCTAAAGCTATAATAATAGCTCTTATTAATATTATATCTATTATAAAGCTAGTCTTATTAAAGTTATAAATATTTTTATCTAGTATACTATACTTAGCTTTTATATTAGCTACTAGCTAGAACTAGACTTAGATAGCTATAAAGTCTTTATAGAGAGCTCTTTTATAGTTATATTTATAATTAAACTTTATTATAGCTTTAGTTAGCGCTTAATAAATATACTAGGCTATCTTAGACTAATCTAGACTAGATTATACTTAGCGCGTAAGAATTAAGCTATATTAGCTATATTTATAAAGTAAAAGAGAAATTCTTACTTAATTAAATTAAGTATATACTAAATAATTACTTTCTTTTTAGTTTTATTTAAGCTTATTATTATTAGCCTATAATCTATTTATAAAAGTTATCTAGTATATTAATAGTATAAAGTTATATAAAATATATTATAAGTAGCTGTAGTATATTATAATAAAAGAGTTATATCTTATTTAATAGCTTAAAGCGTAGTCTATATTTTAGTCTCTTTTAATAGTTCTATCTAGTATAGCTAATAAAGTATTATAAAGTAGAGGTAGTTTTAGTAGAGTCTTAGTATAGGTATTTCGCAAAGCCTACTAATCCGCGAAGTATACACCTACGTTAGTTACTAGTATAGACTCTAACCTTAACCTAACCTCTACCTATTTACTAGCATAGGCTAGCGTCTAAAGAATTAGTTAGGCTAGTCTTACACAGCGAGCATAGCTAAGAATAGAGACTAACTGGCATAATACAGAATACTAAGATCTGAATTTAGACTACGGCAAGCGGAGTGCGTGTTAGGAGAAGATATTTGCTGGTGCATACACACGCAAAGGTAGCAAGGGTCTGCATGTCTTCGGGATACAGCTGTTGTACGGTTATACGACGAACGGCTTCTAGTTTATCTATTACGTGGGACTTCGCGGCCACCTAAACCCAACCCAACCCATCAGATCGAGTTAACAACTTGAAGTTGGATCACGGCTTGGAGAATCGCACCAACAAAAGAAACAACAAAACTCCAGCTGGTAGAAAAGAACCAATAAAGCAGAGGGCTTATTAGCGCGCACAAGACGCTAAAGCCAGCCAGAATCAGGATCCAGACCCAATTCAGACGGGACAGTCGAGGGTGGCCTAAAGTTGGCCATATGAAGGTGACGAGACTCAGCAGTTGCAAAATGCTTCCGGAAACTGCCTGGTAGAAGTTGGGGTCTGTGGAAGTGACGTTTTCTAAGATGCCATACTTCCAAGCAAGCACGGCAGGTACTACAGAGACCAACGACACTATTGGGACGATGAAATTGAGACTCGATCGTATATTTTCGGAGGCTTGATACGCTGTGAAAACGGTGGTTCCTGGCCCAGGTGTGCCATTTCTGCTCTCGGTACTTGTCTCCCTACTTCAGGTCAGTATTGAATACTCATGATTCAAAAGAAAAACGTACCACCAGCTCTCAGACGCCGCGTTCAACAAACGTTGCTCTGATCCGGACGCACCATGGGCAGCAGAGTACGCAACTGGATAATAGTCTGCTACCGCCTGTAACTTGATTTGAAGGGCATGTAATTCTTTCTGTGAGAGAAGAGCCAGTCTAGCGGCTGCTTGACTCGGGTTCAAAAGCGCTTTGAAAACATTCAGAAATGCGGCAAGCTGATAGCGACTTTCTTTCATCTCCACGCCAAGCTGTCCGATGTATTGTTGTTTCGTATTACATCAGTCATAGAATTCCGGCTTTTTTAAATTGGGATCGCTTTCCGCGGTTGCAACCGCTACACGCGATGTAGCGCTTTTGGTGACTTTGACACGTAGCGCCTCGCGATAGAATTGGCACGGCTGATCGTCGATAATGAAAGCCAGTCTTTCATGTGGTGTCAAAGTCTTTAGATATGTCATGATCCGACCCTTTATGCGAGGTTCATACAAATCTTCGACACAGTCGGCGAGGCTTGCCTCCTCTTCGGTAATCAATGTTTCGAAGTTGCTGTCGAGCCTGGAAATGATTTGCGGAAACCCATAGTACCCATCTCTCAAGGTTTTGAGTACTACTGCATTGATCTAGAGGATATGGGTGACAATTGCGAGAATATGATCAAGGCGTGTCTGGCTCTGAAGCCTTTCAGCTGCTACAGCGCACGTTAGTTACCACGACGCCCGAACCTGTCAACCATGAATGTCATTTGAGCTTACATACCTAGATATTTCAACTGATTAGGTCCTCTTCTTCAGACATTGGTTTTGGCGAGCGGGTTGATTGCTGTAGTTACTTGCTGCACTGTCATTACAGTGGAGGCCGATACTTGTGCCATCAGGTTGTTATGTCACAGTTGAGCAATCTGATGCTTATATGATGAGAATATCACCGAGCCGACGTTTGGAAATTCAGTAGCAAAATACATCTCGAGCGGTGACTGTTCTACTCAATTCCGTAGGCAGCCACGGCGGTAATCAAGCTAAAAATAGTAGGCTGAGCGAGGTGGCTGAGACATGTGGCGCACAGTCATTGGACACCGGATTCACAAGCAACTTAGCCTATGTCTACATGGCAACTGAGAACGTTCGGCTATAACAGTATGATCATGACTACGGTGTATTCGCAGTCGCTTTTAGATGGAATTTAGTGCGCCTGTAGCCATTCAAATAGACTACAAACCGCTATGCTAAAAGCAGGCCGTGTATGTTTTAGGGAAGCCGCCTATTAAGTGAATATGCCGAGCTTCCCTTAGTTATGGAAACATCTCAGAGGTTGTCATGTGTCCTCTGTCGAAGACTCCATGTTTGCTTGTATTTACAACAAATGTCACAATGCATCTTCAGAGAATATTGATATTGATTTGGCTGAAACCACAATCAGCAAATAATTTCTAGATCCGCCATGTGAACGCCGCGCTGATAGACAAGTTTCGGGGGGGCCTTAGCCATGCAAGTATGCCGTAATGTGTACTAGGTATGACGGACCTTTCACTTCCGTATCAGACCTGTCCGTTCATTCGCGCCCTCGCCAATCTCCTCCTCTTCATCTTCGTCTTCGCTATCATCTTCACTCCACCCTTCGGCTTCCAATCCATCGCCACGAATACCGAAGCTTAGGAGGAAACCGAGGAGTGCGATGCCAGCGAAGATGCCAAAAGGTAGGGCTTCACCTTTGGGCTTCAGCTTGGTAGCTGCTGTGAAAAGCGAACCTGACACGAAGGGTCCAGCAGCGCGACCGGCAGCAGAGAGCGTCTGGGCGAGGCCATTGAGAGTGCCGAGCACGTTGTGATTGGGTGCGGAGTTGGTGATCTGCATCATGTCAGCATCTGAAGGGTGTCATGTCAAGACTCGAGTAACTGACCATAAGGAGTGCAGCTGTCAGACCACCGACACCTGCAATCGTCTTGATGACCAGCACAACGCCAAGCTCAAACCACAACCACCCAGCACCCGTACCAATTCCTTTGTATCCATTGCTCTCTTTGTAGCCAACAAACGGCATGAGACCGAAGGCTGCAATGAACAGCCCTAAGCTGACTCTGTACGCCATCCTGTTGCCCATCTTGCCTCGGAGCCTGCCAAATATACCCACCTGGAACAGTATCGTGATGGCGCCTGCGAAAGACAGAGATAGTCCGACAGCCTCAGGCTTCAGTCCGCGTCCGGTGGGTGGTTGCTCTTCCGCGAAAATGGGATATAGGGAATTGTACGAGATGTTAGCGAGTTGGAATATGAAGTACGTTATGAGAAGCAGGACTGTGTCCCTGTTCAAGATCTCCTTCCGCGTGAGTTCGTCGCCGCTACTGTGTGGGAAAAGTGTAGGCGCAGACTCTCCAGAAGCGTCGGACGCGACATCCTCGTCCATATCATCCAAATCATCGTGCGAGTTGTGGTTCTTGTGATTGCCTAGTAGGCGGCGTACGTAGGTGGGTCGCGTGGAGCTCGTGAACTGCCACATCCACGAGAACAAGTTGCCCAGTCTCTTTCCAAGAGGTGGCAGATTCTTGGCTTCCTCCAAACTCTCCTCCAAGAAGAGCATACACACTATCAGGTCTATCGCGAGGACGAGGGCCGAGAAGAGGTTCGGAAGGAGGTATGGGTAGGGATTCGACTGGCTCTTGTTGAACGGGTTCTGGTAGAGCACCAAGAGTCCTCCCACGATCGGTCCTGTTATGCCACCGATACCGTAGACGACAGGCAGATAGGTAAAGGCGCGCGATTGGTTGCTTCGATCCGTAATCTCGCCCAAACACGTCGACACGACGCCGGAATTTCCGTTGACAAAGCCCATCAGGGCCTGCACGAGTATAGCCTGCCATAACTCTCTGCAGAAGCCAAAAGCCAGAAAACAGCACATGGTCAAAAATGTACCCATGATTATTACCGGCTTTCGTCCGATCTTATCCGACAACCAGCCCCAAAAGAAGTTTGTAGTAAATTGCGCCAACGCGAAAGACGACGCGATGAGTCCGACGTATAGACCAGTCTGCCCATCCTTAACTGCGGAAAATGATTTCGTCATCTCTGGCAGATAAGGGCCTATCGAGTTGAGGGCCGTCTGCTCGGCGAGAGCTATGACAGCTAGTACGATGAGCTGCTTCGTCGGTAGGGGCGAATCGTGGTGAGTATGGCTGCCATCTTCGGAGCGGTTGCCATCTTGACCGGATGGGGCGTCAGATGGTGGTCGGCCGCGAGACTTAGGGGGAATAGTTGGGAAGGTCGTATAATCTACATGGCGATGTACCAAGTCAGTATGAGTCCCTATGTATGTGATATAGAGATGTTGCCTACGAAGCGTTGACCTACGCGCATCAAGCCCTGGCCGGTTGGATGGCATTGTCGCGGAATGTGCTACCTCTGTGAGGCCGAGTTGTTACTGCAAGCTTTCGCATGCATTGGCGCAGGGTTGTTGTTGTGTATGTCAAAACTAACGCGCGAGACTACACAAGGATGTCAGATAACTCTATAGGGGCGCGATTTGATGATGGGGTTCTTGAATGCGGGAGGCTGCAAGATGCAGTTTGCTGTGCAGATTTCAAGCTGGGATCACGCGCGGCTCAAGCTACGTCATTATCGCAGGAACCCGCTGGCTTGGCGCGAGATCCCCATCTTCGATGCTGTCTCTCGATCACGTATCTGACTAATCAACGTTTTCTTCACATCTTCTCATGATGTCGACTTCCTCTTTTGTTTAGATAGGTACGATTGACAGACGTTGCGCTGTTTGCGACCACCCGTTGGCCTACCCGACTTCACAAACACAGATTCCAGGACGTATTCCCATCTCGGTGCATATCAAGCCATGTTCGTATGATGCGAACGGGCCAGACGAAGCTTGGGAAGTGCGACAGGCACAGTGTGCATGCCGGGCGGCAGTGGAGGCTGGCGAATCCAGATATACGGGACCCGGATGCAACTGTCAAAGCCGGTCCGCGAAAAGAAAACATAGAATGAACCTGCAGCGCGACCACCAGGGATCGCGCTAGACCTACATATATATTGCTGACCCAAAGAACTCTAGGTATATGCCGCATCGCGGCACCTGCTCGATCATCTGGTAAGTGCATCGTGAACAGACACATGATATATCCAAGGACCCGGATACAAGTAAAAGCTACCAGAAGCAGCATTCTTGGCATGCTGCGATACCAGATTAATTACCGCGAGGGCTGGCCCCTCGTCCTCAATCTATTACGCCCTGGTGGTGCGCCAATGCTATTGGACACCTCGGGAACACTGAGAGCTGACTGGCAATACGACTCATCGGTGGATGCGGATTGTCAAGATGATCACCAGTCGCTTAAACCCAGTGGGGTCAGAATCTTCGCAACTCGCTCATATCTTCTCAAACATTAGTACGCCCTACGAAGCTGTTTGTTCTCGACGTCGAAGGTGGGGAATGTTTGCGACCGTCTGGTCCTCCTGTGCCTCAATCACTGCTTGGCAAGGCTTATGGGCGCACCAGAACCAATACTACCAAGCGACTTAGATTACGCTGCCGCCAGAATGCCGACTTTAGGGACTGGTGTGGAGATGTCGGGTTTAGGTTGTTTGACGAAGTCGGTAGTATAAAAAGTCTACTCAATCCTTCACAGAAACGCCGAACAGGCAACAGGTCCAGTAAAGAGCCGCAGGTACACCGCAGTCTTTGTCTAAAGGCCCCTCTCTCATCTGGTCTCGATTCGAGTTCCGGTTTCCAACTTCTCGCATTCCTTTCTGCACCTCAATAGTTCCTCATCCACAGATCTCCAAACATGCGATACTCAACCCTACTCCCGGCTCTGTTAGCCATACCCTCGACTCTTGCAAGACCGGCCCAACCCGAAATTGCCAACACCACAACTTTACCCACTCACTTCGGTCTACTCACATTCCCACACTTCCAAGCTCTCGACATATTCGGCCCCATGGACCTCCTTAATTCGCTCTTCATGTACTACCGAAACACATCCATCGTGCCGCAGTTCACAGTCTTCAGCAAGACCATGGATCCAGTGACGTCGGCCATGACACCTGGAGGCTTTGGGCAAGAGATCATGCCAACCATGACTTTCTCAGACTATTTGGATGGGCCTTCTCTAACAGATAAGGGGGAGATCGACGTCCTCATCGTTCCTGGTGGCGGAGGTACTCGTAGGGACATGACTGAAGAGATCAATTTCGTCAAGGCTACTTACCCAAATGTATGCACACTCCCCTGCCCTTCCAATCACTAGCTCACCATCTCACCGCTCAAATACATAATCTCCGTCTGCACCGGTGCAACGCTCCTCTCCCGCGCAGGTATCCTCGACGGCCGCAAGGCAACCACAAACAAGGCTGCCTGGCCATGGGCTACATCGACCGGGCCCAATGTAAATTGGGTGCCTACTGCGCGTTGGGTCGAAGACGGCAACATCATCTCGACCAGTGGGGTTTCTGCGGGTATCGATGGAACGTATGCGTTTGTCAGTCGCGTGTATGGCGAGGAGGTTGCGCATTTCTTGAGTTTGGCGTTGGAGTACAACCGTGAGACGGATGCGCATCATGATCCTTTTGGTAAAATTTGGGATGTGCCGGGTGCTACTTAAATTTCTAAATCTTGTAAGCGGGATTGGGTAGTGGTGGGATGAGATCATGGTGTATGGGTAGACGTGATAGGCTGGGTCAGCCGCAGTGCATATGCATGTGTCTGCACGGCCTACGTACTCTCAGCCTTTTCGACAACGACACTCTTGACCCGCCCCCCCCTCCTTCTCTCTATGTCTCACACGCACTTAACGCTTATCTTCTAATGTCTTTGTTGTCGCAAACCCCAGATCGCCCATACCTACCTTTCCGTGGTGTAAAGAACGACGACACAGCCTTTCTGCCACTCAACTCCGGATTAAGAGAGATACGATGCGTCATCTTGCTACCTGGATCCGGTGACGACCCTATCGAATGTGAATTGGTGTACACCAACATAGACGAGAAGTCTGATGATCGCACACCGTATGTCGCGCTATCCTACTGCTGGGGAGCCGTTGAGGATACCGTTGAGATCCAATTATATAGCCCATCGACAAGCCCATCCAGCGCACGTAAGGAGCCAACCAGGGCGCCATTTCGAATCACACAGAACCTCTTCGTCGCACTTCAAGCCTTGCGGAACGAAAAGAGACAGTGTCTATGGATAGACGCATTATGTATCAACCAGCAAGACCCGCGAGAGAAGACACATCAGGTCCAGTTGATGGGGAAGATATACTCATCTGCTGAATCGGTGGTTGTGTGGTTGGGACCGGAAAATGAATACATTCGGTTTTTCATGAGAGCGTGGACGAAACACATACGGCCCCTGATAGATCATGATACTGTTGAAGAGACATGGGGCCTCTGGGGTACATTGCGTGAGGATACAGACCCGCTGTGGACATGTATGGCACAAGACAAAGTACTCAGCCAACTCGGATCGGAAATTGACGATGAGATACTCGACAACTCCTCGCCTGACCGGTGCAGAAAGGCAATGTTGGCCGGTTTGAGAAGTCTCGTTAGTCGGCCGTGGTGGAGCCGAATATGGGTTCTGCAAGAGGTCCTCCTAGCTCCCAAGAACGAGGAATCGAGACAAAAGGTCGAATTCAGGATTGGCAACGGCACATTACGTTGGTTTGAGATATTAAATACTCAGATAACGAGCGCAAAATGTTTGAAATTGACATCGTATGAGAAGATTCAGCGAGCGTGGGCGTATCTTATAGCCAGGGACGCATTGCCCGAGTACATGGAGGTGAGGTGGCTGCTTAGGTTTACGAGGAGATTCCACGCTTCAGACCCTCGGGATAAACTTTTCGCTCTACTCCTCCTGGCTTCAGACACCAAAGATTGCCTGTGGAAAGAGCCTCTGATCAGCCCAGATTACACCAAATCGACGAAGACTGTGTTCGATGACTTGATACGTTGGAAGCCAAGTTTGGCGGGCCTCAAGATCGACGTGGAGGGGATAGGTGATGTCAAATTAACCGGCGATTCGGAATGGCCAACAATTGAACACGAATCTTCATGACTCTCATCCGTATAGACACGGTCTTTTTGTCACGTGAATATCATCAAGCATAGACTTACCTGTATGTCGACGTGAAAGATGTGTACTTACGCTTTGAAGAAGCCTACGACAAGCTCGACATAGTAGGATACCAATCAGTGAGTAAGACGAATAACGATGCACAAAGGAGTATCCTAGAGTCAGTAGAGCGCACGTACAGGAGTAGCATACCATCATCACTGCCGACTGAAGACGTTCTATTTCGCAAATTCGTATTAATGACAACATTCTAATGTACAGCTTCAGGAGCTTACTGACCTTTCAAGCCCACAAGGCAACGCCGTTCGGATGACCTGTCCATAAAAATTCCTGCCATTGGCGACATGAACCTCGTCCAATGTTCGATCATGCAAACTTTACTGCAGACGAACACCAGCAGTACCCTTCTTCTTCGCCTGATCATCAAACGCATTCCCCAATCCACCGCCCCCACTCCGACTAGCCTCAAGCGAACTCTCGGCCATCTTCTTCTTCTCGGCAGCAACCTTATCAAGATACTTCTTCGTCTTCGTATTTCCACTACCTTTACCGTGGAACTGGTGACTGAGCTGCTTGAACGCTTCTTTCTGGTTCATCTGGCGGCCGTGCTCGTCCACATACTTTAGCTCAATGTTGGGCGTGTACTCCTTGTTAAAGAGATCCGCGAGACGGCGACTCTCGACCATGTCGGCGCTGGTGTTGTTTTTGCGGGCCCATTCTTCGCGCTCGCGGGGGGTCATGTTGTTCCAGCGGGCGGAACCTCGTTCGCGTTCACGGGCGATTTTGCGTTGGCGCTCGGCTTCGGCTTCGGCCTTGTCCTTGTCAGCGAGGAACTTTTGGCGGTCGCGGTACATGGCGTTCTTGTCGGCGGCGTCGGAATCTGTGACTAGGCCTCGTTGTCTAAGTAGCGCAAGAGTGGCACCTAGGCCTTGGTCGACAGTTTTCTCTGCCTCGAGACCCGTTTCAGTAATGTCTGTGGAGCGAGCGCGCGAGATGCTGCGGTTGCGAGCCTCTTCTGCTTCAGCTGCCTCGGCGTACGATTGACCCATCTCGACATCGCCGTCTTCATCAGCGACGGGAATATCGCCCATGGATTTGGTGCCCTCCGAGATGTGGCTGGACTTTCTGCGTTTCCTGCGGGCCTCCTCTTCGTCGGCATCGCCTGCAGCTCCTAGATTTTGGACGAACTCGGTTGTTTCGTCGATAACAAGGCCACCATCACCATCTTCGGTGGATTCCATAACCTCTGGCTGAGGTGTTGATGCATCTTCACGTAACTGCCGTGCAAGGTCTTCTGGTCGCATCTTCTTGCGCTTTTTGAGGGCCTTTTGACGCTGCGCCGCGAGATTCGCTTGGAGGTCGTCGTCATCCACGAACGACTCGTCGAACACCTTTTTCTTCTTCTGTTGTGGTGCGGAGGATTCACCACCGTCAACGTCCATGTCGTCGCCAGCTGCAGTGTCTTCCGCGGGCATGGCAAGCATTTCCTCATCATCTTCGACCCGTTCTCGCTTGGATTTCTTGCCCTTCTTCTTCTTGGGCTTCTTCATCTTGACTTCCGAAACGTCCATGTAATCGTTGATGGGCGCATCCTCTTTGAGTATGTCTAGACTGATCGCAACCTTCTTTGGTCTTGAAGCACCCGCGACTTCAGCCTGCACGTCTTCAACAGTTCGGCCCTTGCCGTCCAATGTGAACGCATTGCGCTTTTTGCCCTCAATCTCCTCGTCGTATTGTGCAAGTATCGACTTCTGGCCTCCCTCGTCCATATCGTTGGGGTCGTACGCGCGCTTCCGCTTCTTCGAATCGAGTCGCTCTTGTAGTCGCTCCTTCTCTCTGAGTTCAACCGCCTCTAGCTCGTCGTCGTCTTCCGCATCGACTGCAGTGTCTTTGAGAACGAGAATCTGATCCTCGTCGTCGAACTGGTCAACCTCGTGTCCAACTTTGACACCAGCAAGGTCCTTGTCGGTATATTGCATGGCCTCGAGGGCCTGGCGCTCGCGCTCTTCAAGCTCCTTGCGCATCTGCTCTTCCTTGGCGATCTTCTTCTGGCGCTTCTTGCTGCTCTTCAGCCAGGCCAGGTCATCGTCGACGTCTGCTTCGTCAGCCAGCCCCTTGCCCTCGAGCTTTGCAAAACGCGCCGCCTTTTCGCGCTCCTTCTTGATGGCCGCGGCGCGCTCTTCACGTCTTATCTTGGCCAGTCGCGCTTCTTCCAATTTCTTCCAGTTGTCCGAAGCGGCGGCCTGGCGCGTGTCGATGGTGCTCGCAGGCTCTTCGTCCGAGTCGTCGCCATTTTGCGCCGCCTTGAAATCCAGACCAGGGGCTGCGGGTGCTGCAGGCGTGCTTCCACCGGGGAGAGCAGAGAGGCCCATGGACAGACGAATCTTGTTCGCCTCATCGATGGATAGGTCCGCCATGGTTGATGCGGTCGTGATGTGCCGTCGCGACGCAGAGGTTTACGGTCCTGGATGGGAAGTTGTGATGGCGCCCGTGGTTCCAGATCTTCAATGCACTTTCGAACAGTGTGCAGAAGCAGTCGTAGCGAAGAGTGAAAGTACACTCAGTATTCCCAAAAGGTGAGGTTCGGCGTTGAGTGCCTACTCGTGACCTGCGGCCAACATCGCACCTCCGCCCACACATTTCCCGCCAAGCCACTACCCACTAGCGCGCCGGCGTTCAGCCGAGCGACATAAAAAAAGTTGCGCGCCCTCACCCATCGAGTTCTCACCACAACGCCCTGTGTCAACGTCTCCTGTCCACGTCCCTTCGGGGAGCCGTGTGATGGTTGAGATGCTGACAGTTCGTCCATCATGGAGCCTTCTTCCTCTTAGAACGCTTCGGACGACAGGCAGCGCAGAGCAACTTTGGCAGCTTCCGGCAGCCTGAGCTCACCGTTCACGCGGTTCGAGCTCGGTGTATGGTTGTCTGTCAGGCAGACTGATTCCGTTTCCCTTTTGCTAGGCCGTTGGCCACTGATGCTTGGGACTAACCCAGTCGGCTACATGCCATAGTCATGAGTGATGCTTTAGCGATTGCGCAGCTTTGCGCTCGTTGATCGTGAAGTCTGGTCACTTTGCATGCGACTCGCTCGAAAAGCGCGACGGACGCGTTTACGCGTTTTGGACAACTTGCATCATCCGCGAAGTCATGTGAAAGCGCTTGATATGCGAAAGAACCGTAGCGGCTGATTTGAGAATGAAAGCCGGCTTCTTCACAGAAGCCCTTGCCTCATGCAACAATGAGCACGAATATGTCATTATCACCGGACACATAGCCACGTATTGACGTCGTGAATGTGCCATACAATATACATATGTTACAATATCTCAGCCTTTGAAGCCGCTAGATTGCAGTTCAATTGCTGCTAGAAGACCACATAGCCTCCCCGTGTTTCTCATGTCAATCCTTCGTGACTTCTCCCAGACCACACAATTAGTTGGCGGCCGGTGCCTCACCCCTCGCCAACTTCAGCAGCTCAGCCTCTCTCCGCTCCTTCATCAACTTCTCCCTGACCAGCACTCTATCCGCCTCCGACCTCTCCTTGAACTCCTCAATCTCCTTCATCTCGGCCAACTCCTCCTCCGTCGGCTTGATTTCTACTGCGCCTATCTTCTCCACCAGTGCCTCCAAGATCTCGCTCTCCGACTGGTCTCTCATGTCAATCGAAAACGTGGGTTTTGAGGTATCGGGTACGAGCGTGTTCCGCGGGTTTGGTGTTGCTGACGGTGGTGAAGCGTCTGATTGTTGCGTTGTAGGAGAGTTTGTGGAGCCAGTCGATGGCTGTGTTTTGGCTGCTGTGTAGATGTGGAGGAGCGAGGGACCGTCGGGGTCGTTGTGTCGCGCGATTTCCATTGGGATGGATGGGTTGCGGTATTTCATCCGCGGCAGCATATTGCGCCAGAATTTCCTGTTCGTAGAGTGAGCGCTCGATCTTGTCATTGTGTACAATTGCCAGCTCTCAAACGTCGTGTCTGGAATGGCCTAATACCCCTTGCCCTCCTCCAAAACTTGTAACAGAGCAATGCCAACGTACCTTGCCCCTCTATGTCCTCCGTAGATTTTTGTGTTGAATTCCATGCTAATCTTCGACACCTCTTTTGGCAGTATGAGCGCGCCCGGGCCACATCTTATCCATAATAGCTGTCGCAGATAGCATTGTTAGCATTGTTACATCTTTTGTGTCTCGAGTCGGTCGGGTGCGAATGTAGGTTTCGACGTTTTCGGAGGTGTCTGCGGAGGTGGATCTTACGTACGTGCTGTGGTGTTTGTTAGTCTTGTCGAGAAAGTAGACATGTATTCGGAGATAAGCTACTTGCCTCACGTAGCTTGCGCATGCGCTTCAATATGTGCACCATGGTTGCTGTGATAGGATATTGAACTGGGGTTGCGGAGTTCGAGAGATTCTCGGGCATTGCCCGTAGCGCGATCTTGTCTTGGCAGCCCTGCAGATGAGATGTTTTCAATGTCTTCACTCGAAAAGAAGTCTAGCTGAATAGTAATGTATGACTTAGCATTGCAATGATTGAACGCCTCCCCAGGTATCTGAGCTACATTATTCTTCCACTACACATATCCAAATCTCCGATCCCACTTGCCGAGGACTTCCACGAGCCAGTCCAGAACGTGTCCAATTCCGAACTGTATTCATCGCTCCGCTGGGTATTATGTGATATCGCGCATGATGCTTGACACGTTCTTGTCAGGCGACTCTACTTCACAGGAAGCAGGAGTGCAGGCCTTTACCGAGCAGGTTGAGCGGCGGCGGCGCGCGCCTCTGCGGGAGTTGGTCCCGCCATACGCTTGTTCCTGTATTTGGGATTAGCATTTGACTTTCATTTCCAGAGTAATTCCGCTTACATGAACGACCTGCTGAGGAAGGAGATGATGATCATGGGCATCCACGAGGGCATCTTGGAGAATCCCCAGGTGACGTATGCGTAAGGAATGGCAAGGTTGTACTGCTGGAGAGCACCGTTGAAGGGATGGAAGGGACCCTCGTATGGGGTGACCTGCTCAATCTCGTTGTCAACGATGAGCTTCTTGAAGGTCTCGGTGGTGGTGCTGGTGCGGTTCAAGGGCTTGTAGCGAACGACGGGGACGGGCGCAGACTGGTCAGCCATGGGCTTAGGGACCTGGAAGTAGTAGAGCGCCGGTGCGCCGACAGACCATGCGTTGCAGAGGATAGGCTCGGTTTCGCAGTCAAGGTACGCAAACTTGGGCGCATCAGGCTTCGCGGCCATGATGGGGAGAGAAGCCTGGCTGATGTTAGTGTCGGTAGTCTGTGTGTTCGCATGCTATACGTACGTTCCATGCCTTGGTTGCGTTGCCACACAGGCCAAAGCAGGTGGTGTTGCCGCCAGTGGTGAAGATGAGCCAGTCCTGTGTGGTAGGAGGGCTGGCGGTAGCGTCAACGGTAAGGGTCTCTTTCCAGTTCTCCAGAGTAATTGGGTACTGGATGGCGGCAGCTGCGTTGGAGGCCACCTTGCTTGTTGCGGTGTCGACTGGCGCCGACGGCATGGAGGGGATGGATGCGGACACGGCAGCCGTCGCCTTGTTGAAGAAGCCCTTCACCTTGTCAAGGAGAGGCACCTGCTCCTCGGCGACAGCGAGCGCCGGGAGAGCGAGAACGAGGCCTGATGAGAAGCGCATGTTGATTGTGTGCGAGGGAAGGTGTGGTGTCGAACTGCGAAAGCTGCGGGCGGTATGCTTGCGCTCTTCTGCCTGATGATGCCACAGGGTCCAATTGGAGCGACGTTGAAGTAATGTGGGGGATGCAGCTCAACGTCAGAGGCAACCACTAACAATCGTGAAGGAGTGGGAGAAATGTAAATGCAACTGTCGCGCAATGATCGCAAGGAAGTTCCCAGGTCGAGATAGCTAATAATATAAGGAATAGGGATGAGGACTAATAACCCGGCTCTTCTGCACGAGCTTGGCAGTCCAGAGCTCTGCCGCGAAATTGGGAAGCCTGGGCCAACCGTTCGTCAACAGCCTTCACCATCACGGACCTGCTGCATACGCGTTCACTCTTCACCAACCAGACGCGTTGTGATGTAGATGTTCGCGACCAGCTGGAGGAAATGATCTTTGACGCGAGGAACTATTGGAAAGTATATCGACTGTCCCTCACACAGGTTTGCCTACCCGGATATCCATTCCCAGCATTCCATCTCATCTCATCTCATCCCGTTACATCCCGTCATCATCGTGTCCCAGTAAGCCCGTCAAAACTCCAACCTGGCTGCGCAATATGTGCCGCCAAAGTAAAGATGGGATCCTCCCCACTCTCTGATCTCGAAAGCCTTTGAAAAGGAGCTTCTATTGACACGTCAATGTAACCCTATCGAGCTCTGGGGTTCCATCAACATACTTTCGTTCTGCAGCTTTCGCGACACATTGGCATTCATCGGTGTCCTAGAGCCTGCTGTTAGTGAGCTATCGTCAGAACCCCGTGGAGTCCCCGTTGTAGAATTGCCAATACCTGCGCCCAATCTCCTTGCCAGTTCGTCTTTGAAGGCCCTGTTTGGTTCAGGCCGTGCATCTGCTTCTTCGTCTGCAGAGTAGGCAGTGCTCCATGCGCTGTTTCTTTGCACTGGCGAGTGGCTACCGGATTCCCTAGCTTGAGCTTGCTCGTGTTCTTCTACTTCGCGGCTGTGTGCTGTTTCGTCGTACAATACCCTACCTGCTCGAGGGTTGGCGCTGCTGTCTTTCTTATCTGAAGCTGCTACACTACGTAGGTTGCGTGGACCGCGGATATCGCCAAGCATGGCGGCCATATTGGATGGTCCCACTGAGGGCAGTCGAGGGAGTCCGGGTGGAGGAGGAGGTCTTGATGCCGGCGGAGGAGGTGGTGGGGGCGGAACTGGAGGACGAGGTGCTGGTTGTTGAGGAACTGGCATCGGGACGCTTTGTAAGAATTCGGGCATAGAACGATTTAATGGCGATGGAGCGCGTGGTGCGTGCGAGATGATTGGGGAGGATGGTCCTGAAGGGCCGTCTGATACATCCGGAGAAGGAGGCATATCTGGATATCGAGCCATGATAGGAGAAGGAGGCGCCTCGTGATACGGCGCTTCATTATAAGCCCGAAGCTCATCTTCCACTTCATGGTCCATCTCCTCACGGTCCTCATAGCTCTCTGGCATTGACGAATCTGGAGCTTGATCACAGTATCTAGATGCTGCCCCGGTATTAGACCTATCATCCGCAGCCCGAAAACTGGGTTCTCGCGGTGGTGAAGCTTCACGCTCATAGTGCTCTTCCTCGTGGATGTGCGATGGTTGGCTGGCTGGCACATACCAGTCATGCTCCTCTGGAGCAGGTGGGGGAGAACGATTCAAAGGAGTAGGAGGTTGCACATGCCAATTAGGCGGTTCTGGAGCAGGCGGAGCAGAATATTTTGGACGAACAGGGAGCGCGAAATCGTGAGCAACAGGGGACAATGGGCGAATCGGCGTCGCACCAGATGTAGGAGGCTGAACACGGATCTCGGGAATCAGCGAGCTATGGTCCTTCTTCCTGTCTTCCTCTTGTCTTCGCTTCCCACGATGTTCGTGTTCAAGTCGTTTCTCGTACTCACGTCGGCGCTCATCTTGTTCACGACGATGACGCTCCCGTGCTTCCTCCTCAGCAGCCGTTTGTTTCGATTCACCACCCCACGTCTTCTCAGGGTTCCGTTCGGTCCATCTGACTCGCTCTAGCTCGCTCTTTCGTATCTTCTCCCTCTCTCTCCTTTCGCCTTCCCTGAATCTATCACTATAATCCTTCGCATCCGTCTTCTTCTTCCTCATCCCATCGAGGGCGTTCTCGAACGCACCTTTCGTACGGTGGCCTGCTTCATGCTCGGCTTTGATGTGCCTGTACGTTTTCATGAAGTGATCTCCGAGGCCCATGGCCATGCTCCCCTTCCTCTTGTACTCGGGTAAGCTGCCAAAGGGTGTACCATCTGGCCCTTTTTGCTGCCTTGTTGGAGAGCGGGACGCAACTACGCGGCCTGGAAGAGTATCCGGCTGTTTGGTACGTGAAAGATCACGCTGATGGGAGCTCCGGTGCCCTCCCGACTTTCGATGTTGAGATCGATGGGGAGTACGAGGCCTTTCATGTTTGACTCGGTGTGTTTCCTTGCGTCCACGAGATCGCTCCCTCGAGCGATCCTTTGACGATTCCCGCCCTGAACGATGTGGTGTTGGGGCTCTTCTTCCAGATACTGGATTTCTCCCTCGTCCACGAGATCGCGATCGGGGACGAGGTTCGGGTGTCAGGTCTTCCCATGAAGTTTGATAGCCACTGCCACCACTCCCTGGTCGATCTCCGCCTCCAGGTGATTGAGCACCTGGCTTTCGATGTCCATCATGCAGATTATCTGCTGGCCCAGCACCATCCGTCATATGATACTCTGAATCGTCGTTCTGGCCAGGCTCGGTGACTCGGTCGCGGATGTCACTGCGCCGGCGAGACCTCGAGCGTCTATCGCGGGATCTGGGACGTTCATGACGGCGTCTTCCACGCTCTCCGTCCCTCGATCTAGAACGGCGATGACGGTGTCGATGCCCGCCACTCGATTCATCACCGTGTTCATGACCGTGCCTATGCCTACGGTGCCTCCTATGCCCTTCCCTCCCACTCTCGTCCATACTGTTTCCCTTCCTATACCTCCCGTGCTTTCCTTTATCCTCACTCTTCCCTTTCCCTTCTTCTGCTTTCTCTTCCTTGTAGCTTCGATACAACTTTACACCCTCAACGACAGCTTCGATGACCAATTTTGCTGCACTTTTTTCGTGGCGCTCAGAAACCAAGTCTTGAACTTTTCCTTGGACTTGCTTACGGTACGCGTCGTCGTCAGGCATTGGTAGTGCATAGGTTGCGCGTGTGGATACATAGTCGACAGGGAGTAAGTTGGGTTATGTAGGGAAAGCGTGTGAAGCTGGAGGTCTGTGAATTTGACGACAATGGGTGAAGGAGCAGCAAGCGGACGCTGTTACTAGGAGGGTGGTTTGAGGTATGGAAGGGAATGCTGGGTAGATAAACGCGGTCCATGTGTGAAGACGATGTGCTGTTAGCATGCTCCGAACGAACGGGGTTCTGTGATGAATGAAAGTGTGAGCGCGAACGGAAACAACGTCCATTAACCACCAAGCAGAGTCAACACACCACAAGCTTCTCGAGCTGGAGATTGAGGAAACTGAGTTGCTGAGAACATGAGAAAAGGATGGAGTGGGTTTGATTAAAATTATGATGTTGGAGCAAAGGTGAACTTCCCCGTGCTTAGCTCCTCGATGTCTCCTAGTGTAGTATTGTCATGTCGCTCTCAGTAGGCGCGTCATGGCAAGCATAACAATCGTCGTGCTACGCGTATTCCAAATATACACTCCGGGCCAGCGCAGCCAAAAAATGTCCGCATATTGGCCAAGTCCGAGTGCCAAAACGCCGGTGGTATGCAGCCCGTATCCATGCCCTCCAAACCATCTATCCTTTCGCTTTCATCGAAGTCTTCCTCATACCAGAATCCACAGTATTACCACCCCTATTCCCGTGTCCGTCCGTCTTCTCATATGTGCATGCTACTCCTTCTTCTTCGCTTCGCCCTTCTTCACCCGGACACCTTTGCCTCTGAAGTCATTTGCGTCTAACGCATCTGTCTTTCCCAATCCGAGGTCTTCAGCCTCCTTCTCTAGCTGTTGTTTCTGCTTCTTTGCGGCCGCGTTTAGCAGGTATGGTCGGATGAGGAGGTATGCCCCCACGATGGCGATGATGCGGACCCAGCGCTGGGCGGTCATCTCTTCGAAAGACTTGATCGAGTTGTTGACCAGGCGGTCCTTCCACTCGACCACGTTGTCAAGTACGTAGTCCATCTTGGGTATGTGATGTTTGTAGTTGCGATTGGAGTTTTGTTGCGCAGTAATGTGAAGGAGCGACGTCCGGGTGCGATTACAAGTTCGTTAGAGGGTGATGCGAGAGAGGTGTATGACGTCTTGGTCGATAACCCGATGCGTTTGAAATTGTGCGTGAAAGGCGATGTTGGCGACGGAGTAATTGCGCGCAATAACAATAAATCACTCAAGCGTGGACCCCCAGGTGGCAGAACCATGGGCGGTGACCTTCTCCCCGGTCATCACCGAGGCCCCGCTATTGGCCCGCGTTAGGCGCGTCGCGTCACTTGTCTGGACGGCAATTACACGCGATTGGAGTTCAACCACCAGGCGATATGGCGTCAAACGATGATGCCAAAGCAGAGCGCGAAGAGGTAGGGAGCTTTTACGATCTAAACTGATAGTGAGTGTGGGCTGACAATATGCATAGCGGCTCAAATCTGCCCTCTGGTACTCAATCGGCCAATTCGTCGACGAGAAGACGTTGGAAAATGATCTGAACGCAACACCACAATTCATCGGCGCGCTTACTGAGCTTGTGTATACTCAGATTGGTATGGCCAAGGCTGTCTGCCATGCCCTCTGCAACATGCTAACGCCACCACAGCAAACACAGCTCGCGATCTCGAAGTCTTCTCCAAACACGCCGGTCGCAATACAATCAATACAGACGACGTGCTGCTACTAGGGAGACGCAACGAACAATTACAAGGGTTGCTGGAGAAGGAGCTTGAGGATATCAGAGCAGCCGAGGGCAGGCGGGCAGACGGACAGCCAGTTGCTCGTGCACAACCAGCCGCGGCAGGGAAGAAGCGAGGTAGGCCTGCTGGCACGGGCAAGGGCAAGGCGAAAGCCTGAATATACTTGGGGATTCAGGTATAGGTATGTCTAGAAGGTTGTTGCGCTAGGAGTTTTGGAGTCGTAGTATGATACCCTCGAGCACGCCTAGTCAGGGCACGCTCTGCACGTACATCTTATGCATATGATTATGATTGGACATTTCATGAAACAACAACACACTTCAGTCGTACGCAATTACTAACTGTGTCTATGGTTGAGACTACTCGGTCCGGCCAGTATGATAGCCCAAGGCTAGCCCCTGCATCGGAGGGAAAGCGCCGGTACGCCAATCGTTCGTCAGCACGCCGCGCCTTCCAAACCCGTCATCCCTAGGCTTCTTCTCACCACCACTGCATCCGTCGGGATGTATTATCCAGCAGTGGAATCGATACATAGGCGAACAAAAACGATGAAACGTTTGCTGATGACTCTTTCCGTAGGCTAATCGCAATAGATCTTTGTTCGTGGATGCCACGCTGTTCTATCAGATGCAGTGCCTTTATCTACATCGTCCGCACATGAATTGCTACAGCAGTCAAGCTCCGCCTCAATCCTCTGTTATAATCACTGAAAAGCTGGTACTCTTCTTTGTCGCAGTTACAGATCCTCCAAATATTTGCCTCCACAATGGACGTTCAAAACCGGCCAACGTCAATAGACATGGCTTCCATCGGACTGGGGAGCTTACCCTCACCAGCTCCAACATACAGCTCTACGTTCCTTTCGTATAACGCTCCTCATACGCCCCAACACGCCAATTTTGGTTTAGCACCAAAAGGTGGTACCTCAAACAACCCCTACCATCAAGCCACGCATGAGTCGCCTTATTCGATCCCGCGTTACACCAAAGCAGCCTCAAAGGAGATGGAGGAAGCTCAAGTCAAGCCCGACTACCAGGATACAAACCACCCCCACTTTGCGCAGTCTTCAGGACCAGGATTCCCGACCTCACTGCCCGCACGAAGTCGAATGCCGCGGAAAAGCATCCTTGTGCCGTGGGTACTTTTCGCCATTTTCTTCCTCACAACGCTGTGGTTCACCTCGATCTTAGCCGGCGCACGGTTTCTCTCCATCATCCATCCGACATCGCCAGTCTCTACAGTGCAGGAGATTCATGTCTACGTCAACGGAGAAGCTCTTCAAGGGAGCGTCTCTGTTACTAGAACTCTTGCCTTGCCCACGGACAGTTTTACTTCGACTGCAAATACTCCAAGCTCAACGGCACCAATATCTGAACCAATACCTGACATGGGCAAGGACATGGACGGTCTTTCTACGGTGCTTGAAGGACGTACTATAGCAGCGCCTACGGGTTTCATCATCAAAGGAAGAGCCCCATGAGGAAGACATTTTCTCCGACTGAGGTGCTGCCCCACCCCAGGCGCCGGAGCAGCGCGTCATGAAGTGCAGCCTCATCAGAGGCAGTGAACTGTAGATTGCTTTTGCAATGAAAGTCGTTCGCATGATTCATACACATTTTTGAGCACACGTTACTCTATTTCTTTCGAATGACTAACTGCTGCATAAACGCGGCCTTGTGGAATTTCTCCGGGTATTACAGAACCCGTCAGATGCGTCTACGAGCTTCGGCAACAACAACACCGAAGCTTTCATATTCCTGGCGACTCGTTGCAGGATCGTGTTCCCAGCGAACCGCTCTCGCAGTGTTTTGAAACATGCGGCTGCACAGTTGAAACGGATTCGCTAACCCAAAGTAGCGAGACTGGAAACGCTCGCTTCCCAGCTTCTCCACCACCATGGCCACCCAATCTCGGATGGGGCCTGTCGCATAAACAAGCATCGCGGACAACGCCCAAAAAGGGCAGACTAGCACTTCATCTAGATGTACTGCTGGCGTGTCGCCTCTTGGCATCTGTCAAGGCGATGTCGTTCCCGTTGCCAGTGGCTGGGATAGCGTGAACGGGTGTCATGGAGGATTCCAGGCGGTTCGTCCTGATTTCCGGAACTATTAATCTCATTCCAGGCGCGTAAGACAGGGAATAGATCTGCGTGGGGTGAGTACAAAAGCTGCCGTCGTCCTGACTTCTCCAATTCATCATTCCATCAGGCCAGTCCTTTCTTGCACAACACTCGTTCCGGTTTTTGCCAACTTCATTCTTTACACTACATTCATTTCGTGATCAGGCATCACTAGCATATCTTTGCATATCAAGTCACTGTACATATCACACCGACGACACAACTTTGAAACTTCAAGATGTTCACCAAGGCCGTTTTCACCAGCGCTCTCCTCTCCGCCGTCTCGGCTCACCAGAACCTTCACCAGCTCTGGGTCAACGATGTTACCCCCGGTTACCAAGTTGGAATCCGGATGCCACCATCCAACAGTCCCGTCACCGACGTAACCAGCGACGACATTGTCTGCAACGTCGGCGGCTCCAAGGTCCCCTCCGGTGTCGAGACCGTTGCTGCCGCCGAGGGCGACACTATCAAGGTCCAATGGGACCAGTCCGGCCATCCAGGTCCTATCACCCATATGCTCTACGGACCCGTCGACGATGCTGCCCAGGCTACCGGCATCGGTGCTGGATGGTTCAAGATTGACGAGCTCAACCAAGTCGACGGCAAGTGGGCCAACGAGATCATGGAGAAGAACAACATGACCCACGAGTTCGCTCTCCCCACTGGCCTTGCCAGCGGCGAGTACTTGCTCCGTTCGGAGATGCTGGCACTTCACAGCGCCCAGACTGTTGGCGGTGCTCAGTTCTACATTGGCTGCATGCAGCTCAAGATCACTGGTACCGGCAGCGAGGGTTCATGCACACCCACCATTGAGCTTCCCGGCGCCTACAAGGCTGAGGACAAGAACATCTACATCCCCGACATCTACAACGGCTTCGACGCGACCACATACAAGGCTCCTGGCGGTGCCGTTGCCTCCTGCGGTGGTGCCGGCGGTGCTAAGCCATCCTCTCCTGCTGCCAACTCGACCGTCCCTACCTCTTCTCTCGCCGCTGCCTCATCTGTCGTTGTTGCCGAGACCAGCGCCGCCGCTCTCCCTACCCTCGCTCCTGCCCGCCCCTCGATGAACGCTACCATCCCCAGCGCTGCCCCCGAGGCCCCTACCACCTTCGCTACTCTTGTTAAGCCTTCTGCCGGTATTGCTGCTCCCACCGGTGCTGTTCCCTCTGGAACTGCTGGTGCTGCTAAGCTCTGGTACCAGTGCGGTGGCCAGGGATGGACTGGCCCAACTACCTGCGAGGGCACTGCCAAGTGCGTCAAGCAGAACGACTTCTACTCCCAGTGCCTCAACTAAGGAGAGCTTCTGAGATAAGATGGCTGGGGAGATTAATCGGGGAGAGGGAGATGAGCTGGAAACTTTGATTGGAGATAACTTCTTGATGTTCATGTATATACCTTGACTTTGCAATTCTACTTCACATTACTCATTGTTCAAACCCTTTTCTGAAGCATGCATGACGTAAATGCGCGTGGCATGAACTTGCTGACGTGAAGCAAAGATGGCGGGCTGAGACGCAGTCGTTGCACAAGAGGAAGGAGCGTCATCGACAGGTGGCTGGATAGGAAGGAACAAAGGAGACTTCTTTCTTGTTCAAGAACGTTGGACGTCGGGCCCCTGAGTGACGTCTTGCCATGTGTTGGTTCTTTTGCAGTCGCGGACGATCAGGTCCAAAACCAAAAATAGTGCTGAATGCCTGTCGCGTGTGGGAGACGGTGTAAGGCTCGATTCGCAGGGCGGGCGGAGGACGAACAAGCGGCGGCGTTAGTGCATGTTTCAGATTAACCTTATGTATGGCAGGCCATGGTGGGCTGTTTGTACCACCACGGCGCGCCTTGTGAACAGCTGGCCTGGAGGTGCGGCTGCATATGCACAATCGGGCATGAAGAGGGCGACGTCATGCAGCGTGTCAGAGTCTGAAATGTCACGGACTTCGTCTTCCATGGCCGGCCGTTGTTGGTCACAGACGGGGGTGCAGGTGTCGCTGTGGCTCCTCAGTGGCTTCCCCGAAGTTCAAGGCCGCGGCCAGGGTGCCAGGGTCGTGCTCCACTCTCTCTAATTCACCAACCCACGTCGCTGTCCCGCTCCTAATTCCCCATCACCACCCACAACCACCGCCGCGCCCCCCGACCTGTTCCCCGACGCCCGAACAGTACTACTTTTTAATCTCTATTCTCTACACACGCCTAAACGACACGTTCCGCACGTTGACGGCAGCTGCCTTTCAAGATACCCTCGACCGACCCGCAGTAGCCTACACCGCCAACCCTTGCAAATATGGCGGACAAGACCGAAAGGCCCACGAGCTCACACAGTTCCGACAAAGACGGTGTAAGCAATGCCTGTTTTGATCTGGCGGCAGAGGAGGAGATCACTGTGCAAGTTTGCTAACATGCACGCGGCGGTGTAGGACGACTTCGAAGACGCTTCTGAGATTACCCCTCGCCCCGACTCACACTCAGAACGATCGCAGTCGCGGTCACGCTCCCTCCTACAGCGAGAGTCTTCCAACTCCACCGTACAGGCCGGCAAACCAGTCTCTCCCAATCCTGCAGTCCCAAAACTGCCCAAAGAGGAGAGCGACGACAGCGAGGAGGATGACGACGATGATGACGACGACGACGAGGATGAGGATGAAGATGATAGCGACGAGTCAGAGAGCGAACCCGAAGTCGTCAAAAAGCCTACCGAGACTGCACCGGCAGCCAAGTCACCACTCTTGACTGGACACAGGGTCTCAGTCACCTCAGACATGGACGATGTGTCGTTGGATAGTGGTGAGTACACCTACTCTGTTTGGCATAATCTAGGGCTATGTGATGTGTGCATGCTCGGCGAATCATGCTTCAAGAGCGAGGGCGCCCCGCATGCATTCACTCCCTAGCCATAAATGCGTCATGCGCGAATGCATGCTGAGCGCAGAACTTGAGCTGACGCCCTACAGAAGGCTCCAAGGCTGCTGGAATACTTCCCAAACTACCACCGCGAGACTCTCGAGACTCCACAAGCTCAGCAAGTGGCCTACAAGGCCTTTCCGGCACAATGGCACCCGTAAAATTCCCTCCTCCACCCGCACCGCCCGCTGTACAAGAGAAAGAGAAGCCCGCGCCGGCACCGACGACTAGGAAGCTCACAGGCCCCTTTGCGTGGCTTTCGAGGAATAGTTCCAGCAAGAAGCCTGAGTCTCCTCCCGCGACTACAACAACTGCCGAGCGACGTCATACTGGGGCATCTATTGCAACCATCGGCAGCAATCCTGAGCTCACTTTGAGCAGGATCGAAGATGAGGGAGACATGGGCTCCAAGAACAGATCAAGCCAGGGCAGCCTGCGAGATCGTTTCAAGATTCTGCGGATGAGGGAAGAAGCGGGCATAACACTGGATGACACAACCGGAGATGGCAGTCCAGCAGGAGCATTAGCATCACCAGGTCTCGGTCTCGGCATTGCCAGTCCCACCCCTCTAGCTGAGGAAGAGCCAGGAAGTCCTCCAGCGCTCGCAAAGCAACCTACAATAAACCCCAAGTTGGCCCCTGGTACCGCTTCTGGGTTCGCCGCTGGTCCGGCGGGAGATGCGGCTGAGCCTGTCGACTGGGATCTATGGCAGTCAGTGGTCAATGAGGGCCCAGCCGCAATCGCACGTACCAGCTCCGAAGAATTGAATCGCGCCATCGCCAGCGGTATCCCTCAAGTCATCCGTGGTGTTATCTGGCAAGTGCTGGCGCAAAGTAAAAGCGAGGAGCTGGAGAGCATGTACAGGGAGTTAGTCGCTCGTGGAACAGACAAGGAATACATGAGCGTCAGGAACAGCACTGTCAGCACCGGCCAAGCCAGTGCGAACGGAAAGGACTCGGTCGCTTCTTCCTCGTCTTCTGTGCATTCTGACTACTCGAGCCCGGCTACAACAGCTGCCAGCACGACTGCGCCATTAGGCTCGCCATCACTCACGTCAGACGAAGACCCCATCAAGGTACAAGCGAGGCTTGCCGCGGAGAAGAAACAGAATGCAGCCACCATCTCCAAATTAGAAAAGGTCATCAAGCGCGATCTCGGAGCGCGGACGAGCTACTCCAAGTACCTCATGGCAGCTGGGCTACAAGACGGTCTCTTTGGTATCTGCAAAGCCTATGCTCTGTACGATGATGCTGTTGGTTACGCTCAAGGCATGAACTTCATCGCTATGCCTCTGCTCTTCAATGTAAGTCATCACCTTTGGGATAATCATCGCCCCCACTAACTTCGGTAGATGCCTGAGGAAGAAGCATTTAGTCTCTTCGTAACGCTCATGAACAAATATCGTCTGCGCGACCTTTTCGTGGCTGATATGGCTGGACTTCATCTGCATCTTTACCAGTTCGAACGCCTTTTGGAAGATCTCGAACCTGCTCTGTACTGCCATCTTCGCCGGAGAGAGGTCAAGCCCCAGCTCTACGCAACGCAATGGTTCCTCACGTTGTTTGCATACCGATTCCCGCTACAGCTCGTCTTGCGCATCTACGACCTGATACTCAGCGAGGGTCTTGAGTCTGCGATCTTGAAGTTCGGCATCGTACTGATGCAGAAGAACGCCGAAACATTGCTGGGTATGAAGGACATGTCTACCCTGACCCAGTTCCTCAAAGAGCGATTGTTCGATGTCTACATCGACAAAGCTCCGTCGGCCAACTCCATTCTCGAGAACGGCTTCTTTGGTTCGACGGCCGGTATCGACAAGGAGATTTATCGCGCAGACACCCTCGTCAAAGATGCAGTTTCCGTCAAGATCACGCCAGAGATGCTCAAGCAATACACCGCTGAGTGGAAAGAACAGCAACGCGTAGAGAAGGAGCGCGAGACAGAACTTCATGGATTGAAAGACAAGGTCACGCATTTGGAGCAAAAGGTTCGGTCTTTGGAACATCGTGCTGAACAGTCCGACATGGAACATGTCCAGGTCGCTTCTGAGCTCATCAAGACCAAGGTCGAGAATGAGAACTTCGCCGAAGAAAACGAGACGTTGAAGACCAAGGTCTTGGAACTACAGAAGATTGTCGACACCCAACCTGCTGAGGTTGAAGCAAGACTGAAGAACGAGATGGAGACTGTCATGCAAAAGAACATTGTCGTCCACAACGAGAACCGCAACCTAGAGGATTCGATGGCCGAGATGGAGAAAGAATTGGTTGACGTCAAGATGCAATGGGCTACAGTAAGTCTCACCCAAGTTCGATGCTGGGCACCGCTGACCAGTCTTCCAGATCAACGAAGAGCACGAAGCGCTCAAGCAAAAGTGGAACAACATTTCGCAGATGATGAAGTAAGCCCGGTGGTGGGCTCATTTTTGCATCAAAGGCATCGGATTGACTTGCATACAGCACGCAAGCGCCGCCACCCGTTGGGGATCAGATCTATTCTGTCGCGTCGACCGCCCTTTAATTCGTTTCTAATGTCTATATACACGTCCGCCCCGTACAATAGCACTTCTGGCAGGGCCTTGTCGCGCGTTATGCTTTGGCATCATCAGTTTCGCATCATTATCTGTACCTGTGGCTTGGTGGGACGGATGGAGATGCCTTCAGTTGGATACGATCAGAATTGGATAGCTTGCATGGAATGGGAGCAAGGTGTTTAGGAAAGTGGCGATTGAATCAGCATACGTCTATCTCTATAGACTCATGGAAGGCGTTTTCCGCTTTGTTTCGTTGGCTTGTAGCATGTTATGATGGAAGCCTAGTTGGTTAGATCATCAATAGAAGCACGACATGATTCAGCAGATATGGATATGCTTGCCACTGGCGATTGTAACTGTACTGTGTCTGTTATTCGCACGCCTTTTAGTCTACCATCCCTGTTATTCGTTACGGAAGCTATGTTCTGCCTGCCAGAAGTCGAATACAAGCTATGCCGCATCAGGAAGCCGCAGTGAAGCACTAGTCTTCGCTTATCTTATCGTGAACCCTGTAGAAAAAGTTACCCAACCCCACAGTCTATTCTGCAACTCAGATCGACATCGATACGATCGCAATTGAAGATGTCCGAACAAGCAACAGAAGAAGATATCCTCCTCGCCAAGCGCATCATCTCGGCGGCGGAGCGTCACGATGTGCCGGCGTTGACCGTCCTGCTCAAGGATGGCTCGGCAAACGTGCAAGACCCCACAGCGACAGTATCAACATCACCACTACACGCAGCAATCGCAGCATGCGGCAAGGCTGAAGATGGAAAGGAGGCGGGTGATGCTGCCATCCAAACAGTAGAGACCCTCCTCCAAAACGGCGCCATCTGGAACGACCTCAACAAGGAAGACGAAACACCAGGATGCATTGCCCTCCGCCTAGGCCAAAAGAAGATCTACGACATGATGGTCGAAGCTGGTGTCCGCGCTGAGATCCTCTTCGCACGCCTAGAAGCCCTCGGCATGGGCGACAACGACGTGGAGGAAGCATTCGAAGAAGACACCACCGAGCAACCCGCCGCCAAGAAACAAAAAGTCTCCGCCGAAGACGCCAAAGCCGTAGAACAAGTCGTCGAAGAGAAGATCCTCGACGACGTCTCCCTCGACAACAAAGCATACCTGAAATCTCAACTCCGCTACAAACCCGGCATCCTCCTCGACGAATCCGACAACGCCGTCATGATGGACTGGGAAACGCAAATCATGCAACGTCATGCCGAGACTCTGATTCCCAAATCCGGTCTTCGCACTATGAATGTAGGCCACGGGATGGGTATTGTCGATACGGCAATTCTTACGCATGACCCCGCGGAACACCACATCATCGAGGCGCATCCCCAGGTGCACCAGCGGCTGCGTGAGCAAGGCTGGTACGACAAGCCCAATGTCAAGATCCACGAGGGCAGGTGGCAGGATATTCTGCCCAAGTTGGTGGAGCAAGGTGTTGTGCTGGATGCGATTTACTATGATACTTTTGCCGAGGACTACAAGGCGCTCAAGGAGTTTTTCGCGGAGTACGTTGTTGCGCTTTTGGCCAAAGACGGCAAGTTTGGATGGTATAATGGTCTTGGGGCTGATCGCCAGATTTGCTATGATGTTTACACAAAGGTTGCTGAGATGGACCTTTATGAGGCGGGCTTCGATACGCAGTGGGAGGATATCGATGTGCCGAAGGGGCTGCACGGAAGTGATCAGTGGGAGGGGACCAGGAGGCCGTACTGGACTATTGATGTGTACAGGTTGCCTGTTAACACTTTCGTTGAGTAGATGGCGAGCAGTGTGTAGGCGGATACGTTATTTACACAGTAACGTTAAGTCCACCTGTGATGGTAAAAAAGGAATGGGCAATGAGATCACGTTATGAAGTGTATTGTTCACCGCGATGTTACTGACGAGACTTTGGCATTCACCTCATTTACTTCTGGAAATATCACGATTGGAAGACAACGCCATCTAGCACCTCTCACTCCAGGACTATCCCTACGATCCAACACTATCCCACAGCCGGCCTGGTCGCGCACGGACGCACAACATCGAACCCAGAAACAGCGATGCCTTCACTTCATACAAGGAAAAATTGAACACCCTGGAGCCTACATTGACCTTGGGTCTTCTACTTTGCCCAACTACAACTCAGTGTAGTCTGCAGACCTGTTCAGGTTATTCGTAGTATGACGTGGGCTGTTGTTCCTGTGGCGAAGTCGCGAGCAACGACGATGTAGCACTGCTAAGCTACGGGTGCGTCGTCGTTGACGTCGTTGTGGGAAGTGGGAGGCTGGGTAGTTGTGGCGGGGATATCATGGTAAGTGGCTTCTCCGCCGGCCGGGACGACTTGGATGTTTGAGCCGGCGAAGTCGTAGAATTCATTTTGGTCCGCGGGAAATTCCCCTGGTACTTCTTGGGGGTCCTCGTCGTTTGGTATATCATGGGTGATCGGCATTTCTTCGTTTGCATCGAGAACGAACCTTGCGTCATGAACTGCTGCTTCAGCTGGCAAGCCATCGAAGGCGGGTCCATGTCCTGCGTCTATGTCCTCGTCGTCGTCGGGCTCCTCATCGTCTTCACCGTTATTTTCCCCCTCCTCATCACCATCCTCACCATTATCTTGCGGGTGTGGAGGCGGAGGCGGAGGCTGAGGATGGAACTGATCGAACGTAATACCTTGGTTTTCGAACAACTCGATGCGATGCTGGTCCAAAGCGTCTTCGCGGGGCCCATGAGGAAGCATATTGACAACAGCGCGTTGATCGGGAGTCAGATGTTGCAGGACTTCCCATTCGGGATTATTGTGCTCGTTACCTTCGTCTTCGTCTTCGTCGTCATCGTCGTCGCCCTGCGCTTCGTCCTCTGCACGGGCACGCATAATTTCTTGACGACGAGTGAGACCCTCACGGCTTAGACCAGAGTCGCGATGGAATCCATCCTGGTTGTATCCTTCCTCGTCGTACTCCGCGGGTCCGTAATGCGGGCAGCCGTGCAGTCCAGGCCAGTTCTCGCCGCAAATGTAGCAGAATGAGTTGCCGCATTCGCACGTAATGTGGTTGCACGCCTCGGCTAACTCTACGGTTGCGCCACAGACGAAGCACTCTTGATAGCCCTTTTCGTTCGCTGTCTGCTTAAACTTCTTGTCGTCTTCGCTCTGTTCGCACTTGTGATTCCGGGCCCCTTGGTCGAGCGCCGTCTGGCACTTGACACAAGTCAACTTTCCGCACTCTTCGGCCTCACAGATAGCGTATATGATCTTCGACTCGGGGTCTTCGACGTGGGTTCCGGGGGGTAGAAATCTCGCGCAAGATGGGTTTGCGCAGTATGTTCGGAATCTGTTCAAGTGTTAGATTCAAATCTGTTACTCGCACGTGAACCTAGGGAAAAACTAAACAGGTCTGCGGCCTACATCAACATGGAAACATGCAAAGCAGGTAACCTAACGTCGATGCAGGCTCTAGACCTGTTCAGGTTTTTTCTTGTATGAGGCGCTCGGGTATCTTGATTCAGGACTTACTTTGCCAGGATTGTATACTCGCCCTGTTGTTTCACCTGGTACGCCCAAGCCACCTCAAACGGCACGTAGTCCTCGTAGTCGTCTAACACAAACATAACATCGCAGCACTGTGGCGGATACAGGCTCTCGTTATTTGTCGCATTCTCGAAAAAGCTACCGATGTCGTCGGCGCAGACCAGATGGCGGCCGCAGGGTGCTTCGAGAAGTAGTTCGCCTTCGCTCTCCTCGGTGCCGCAAATCACACAGCTCTTAGACATGGTAGCGGTTGTAGATAGAGTGTGGCGTGAATTCCTATCAGTTAAAGAGGGCTGCGAGAGTGATCGTTCGCGGGTGAGTCGAGCACCGTGGTAGAGTGGGTTCGGTACCCCAAAATATATCTAGGCGTGTGGAGATTGTGTAGACACAAGGCAGCACGTGGCGCGCGAGGCGACTGACTGATATACGATTGTGAATTCACGTTGAAGGTGAAGTGAATGTCGGCAAGGTTTCACCCGACTTGTTAGCCCTGAATGTGGTGCGAAGGAAACCTTGCACGCTTCTGTACATGTGAAGATTCAGCCAAAGATTGGTGTGAGGCTATCGAGTATCAAATAATCCCAGACAGACAGCATCTCTTCAAGTGGCAAAGAACCCTGGTTGCTTTATTGCTGTAAGAGATACCAAAGAACGATGACGCGACGAAACTTTGTGCAAAGATAGAAACAATGTGGGTGCAGAGAGTGAAGGAAGCCTAGTTTAGATACCAAACAAATCACAGGAACCCACTGAGAAGTAGTATGAGGTAGGTGCATCCCCGTGCCTACGCTTGAGATACCCGTAACGGGAAAGCTGCAGGCAGCCATCGGCCAGGCGCAAGGGTCGACTCGTAAAGCCATGTGTGCAGCCTGGCAAAGATCCACACATTCACAGTAGCATGGCTTAATCCTCAGGCAGAGTCTATATATGGAGTGATGAAGAGTCCAAGGTGGCATTAAGGTTGTCTGGTGAATGAAGGGTCCGGAAATCGCGACGCGACGTTACGTGTAGTTTTAGCCGCACCACGGGCGGTGATAACTCGTGTCGCATTTCTAAGGTTTGCTGCATACACAGTATTATATCTTTGTAAGTAGTTCGTATACGAAATAATGTATACTTCTACTTGGATCATTCTGTAGAATGCGACACGAGTTGTTGCCGGCCTGAGCGTGCACGGACGCATAACATTGCATCAAGAGACAGCGATGCCCTTACCTGTCTCTTTCAAAAGCAGAACAACCCATCTACGCCACATCATGTCTCGCACAATCGTAATTCCGATTGATCCGCCGCGTTCAGATCAATATGAAGGTCGCCCTTCGGATGGGTTGCTCTGGTCGTTGGTAACGTCGCTGCACGCATTGCCGGGTGGAAGATTTGGTAAGGGTTCATAAGTTCTTGAACTGGGAGAAGCCCAGCATAATAAGTTATATGTACAAGAAGACTAAAATAAACGCCACATCTAAGCACGGCACATACGTCCGTCTTTGCTGACCTTCCAGGCCTCACTACCAACACCCTTGAGGATGTAGAGAACATCCTTGGGGTCGTACTTCTTCTTGATGTCCTTCAGCTTGTCATAGTTCTTGCCAAAGAAGGTCTCCTTCCAGTTCGGCTGCTGGAAATCTGCCTCATTCAGATATGAGCCACTGCCCGGTGTGATGGCTTCAATCTTAGGCATGAGCTCGTTGGTCATCTTCTGCTGAGCGGCCTCCATGGTAGCCCAAGGAGCGGTGGAATCCCAGTTGGTGATGAGCTGCAGCTGAATCATAGCGTCCCTCCATGCGGGTAGTACGCCATTGTTGGCAACTCCAGCGGGCTTCTTGTAGTTTGCTGAGCTACCAGCAAGCAAGACGCCTTCAGCGGCAAGCTCTTGGTAGACCTTGACAAGGTCGGCGGTCTTGTTCTCGACCACAGTTCGGGGAATGAGACGGCCACCAAATTGGTATCGGTTGACCTCGTATGCGCCGCGTGGAAGAGGGCCCATGTAGCGATCGAAGTGGTCGCGGTAAGACAGCTCGCTGTAGACGATTGGAGGCGTGATGCCGAGATCTGTAAGAGCTTTGGCATAAGGCGCAAGTACAACGTCCTTGACGTAGGCAGCTGTTGAGTCCCAGACAGTGACGGGCTTGATCACGATGTACTGAGTGCTGACCAAGAAGACGACCATAGCACCAGCGTCGATCATCGCCGGCAAGAGCTCAATCAGCTTGGCAGTTGCTGCGGCGTACTTCTCGGGGGTGGTGGAAGAGGCGAGAAGCTGCATAGCAGCACCGCCAACCTGCTTGGCCGGGTATGCTCGCACAGTCAATGAGAGGACGATAGCATATGTGCCACCGCCACCTCCACTGAGAGCCCAGTAAAGGTCGGCGTTCTCGGTTGCTGAAGCAGTGAGCATCTTGCCCTCAGCAGTGACGACCTCGAAGGACAAGGTCTGATCAGCAGCAAGTCCGAACTCAGTGCTGAGCACGGAGTGTCCACCACCTTGGGTGAAACCACCTGCTAGACCAACGGTAGCACATTCGCCAGACACGACACTCATGCCTTGCTTGTGCACTGCCTCGAGCAACTCGTTGCCCATCACTCCAGCGCCAACAGTAACCGACGGGCCAGTGTAGTGCTTATCGGACCAGTCGCCGAAGGCGATGTTCTTGAGACTTTGGGTCCAGATGGCGAGAGCGCCGGCTCCGGTAGATCTTCCAAGGAAATCATGCCCAGTATTGCGCACAACGACACGGATCTTCTGAGCTTTGGCGAACTCAAGAGCAGAGACGACATCCGCAGCCTCGGTAGCTTTGACAGAGTACGAGACGTAGTTGCCCAGAGTGCACGGGATACTCCTATCGGAGAATGGATCGCAGCTCTGATTGGCAAAGTACGACTGCATGATCGAGTGAGAGGACGGGGTGCTGCCAAGAGAATTAGAGTTCTACCCCAGCATGTAAACGGAGCTCTTGCACTTACTGTGTCAGCGGGTTGAGCCATGATGACTTCAATGCGTCGCAAGCGTCGGCATCGTACGTCGGGTCGTGACACGGGGAGCCAATTGGGACAGTAGCTACAAGCTTCCCGTTCACGGTCGAGTTCAGTGTCGACCACGCGTTATCGGATGGCCAGTCGGCATCGCTTGGCAGACGGTAACAATCCTGGGCGCTTCCGAGGCGTGCAAGAAGTACGGCTCCAAGGAGCGGAGCGTTATCGATGAGCCTCATCTTGTCTTGAAAGAGCTGGATGATAGTGATGAATACCAAGAGACTTGTCCCGACCCTCATATATAGTCATTGTTCCCCTTACTATCTTTTTTGCATTGCCACGAACTATACTTCTCATCTCGGAGACCATCTCAAAGAAGAAGACTTGGAATATGTCTGCTTCCTCTGTTGGCTACAGCGCCGACAGTGTCCACTTGAGACACTGTGCCACATGCCGATACCAATGCAAGGTAGCCTTGCACTGGGCTGGAAGCCGGCGAAGACCTCGTGCGGGAATCGATGGCCGCACGCGAGAATAACCTACTGCAGGGCAGAGTGGGCCAACCGATGAATGGGGGGGATTCGCCGGGTGGCCTAACGCTTGGGGGTGGATACTCAACGACGGATTGCTCGCTAGGATTGACACTCGTGAAACTATGGGATTCGTCCTCAGGCGACACGATGTGGCGCCAGGAACCGACAGACGTGCAGATCTTGGCGAGCGTTCGTCGTCTTGGTACGTTCGGAGAGATGCTCATTTCGGCAGCCGTGCAGCGAACGAAGATGTCTAGTTGCGCACTGAGCAACTGTTATCGCATTGTATCAGCTCCACGTGCTCGCCCGCCTCTGCCATTGCGCTATGCTCATCATTGCCCTTTCTGTCGCATCTTCGAAAGTCTAAAATTATCCTCCGTTGGCCATGGATGGTGGAAGTTGGTGTTCAGGTTTTACCGTGGTTTTCGGTTGGCGTCCGTGGCGTTCGCAAGCCCATGACACACCGGACCGCTCCCCACATTTCGCTGCTCGGCTGGAACAAGGCAAGACCCCTTTCTGGATGACATGCCGCCAGCACTGATGAATGCTAGGTTCCGACCAAATGTGCGCCAGCACTTCTTAACAAAGTTTGCGCTATTGGAATGCCATGGTCGGGTAGGCTTCTGCAGTCGGCAGTTCATGACAATGACGGCAGCCACCTTGATAGCTACGACTCGTGGGTTTCAGTCCTGGGCCTTACAAGAGACGCACTATAAACCGCACGAGGGATCCCTGCGCTCATCATATTCGAGGATCACCTTCCGTTTAGAGCCGGAAGATAAATGGTGGAACCTGTCCCGCTGTCGCTTTACTTGAGACCTACGCTATATCCTACGCATCGGCTACAAACTCGGGGGTCCGCCCATCTGTCTTCAACATTCGGAGTGTCTTGCGCAAAAGAGGCGTGAGAGCATCAAAATGATCTCTTTGATTCGCAAATGCATCCTGTTGTGGCTCGTTACCATCTCCATGGTACATGCAGCACAGCAGCCTGCACTGTCAAAGCTTCCCGCATGTGCTGTAAGTACCTTGCAGCCCAACTTCTTAACATCTCGCTCACCCTTGCAGCAACTGTGCCTCTTGAGTGCTTTCGGTACAAACACCTGTTCACCAACAGACCAAGCATGTATTTGCACGAACGATGTCTTCCAAAACAACGTAACGCTGTGTGTGAGCGCCGGCTGCACCATCCCTGAAGCTCTAGGTACTTGCACCAATCCCGATGGAAGCGAACAAAGGACTGACAAACACAAAGTTACGCGCAACATCAGCCTGACCACCTGCGGAGCCCCAGTACGGGATCGCGGACAAAGCTATGTGCTGTTGTCAAACGTCATGGTATGCATAGCTGCTGCCTTCGTTGCGATGCGTTTCGCCTTCAAGGCCACCGTATCGAGGATGGACTTTGGCTACGACGACTGGTGCGTCCTGGCGACACTCATAGCCGCTATACCCAGTGCCGTCATCACTGTCTTTGGCACCGTGAAGAATGGACTTGGCCAAGATCTCTGGACCCTGACCCCAACGGAGATCACTCAGATGCTGCAATACTTCTACATCATGGCTTGGCTTTACTTCACGCAGCTTATGCTGCTGAAACTCACGCTATTGTTCTTCTACATCCGCGTGTTTCCAAGCAAGGGGGTCCAACGACTACTGTGGGGTACAATCATCTTCACCGTACTCTGGGGTGTCGCCTTCATCATCGTCGCAATATTCCAATGCCGGCCCATCCATTACTTCTGGACAAAATGGGATGGCATGCACGAAGGCACCTGTCTAGAGATCAACGCCATCACTGCATCGAATGCGGCCATATCCATCGCCTTGGACTTCTGGATTTTGGGTGTACCTCTTTGGCAGCTTTGGGGCTTGAAGCTACACTGGAAGAAGAAGGTCGGTGTAGCGCTGATGTTCTGCGTCGGCACTTTCGTCACCGTCGTCAGCATCCTGCGTCTACAAGCCTTGGTGCACTTTGCCGCTTCATCGAACGTAAGCTGGGAGTTCTACGACGTCTCAATGTGGAGCTCGATTGAGATCTGCGTCGGCATCATGTGGTAAGTTCTCATACTCGTACTCGTATATCGCATCTATTAACGTTCCTACCAGCGCCTGCCTTCCAACCCTCCGTCTTCTCCTTGTCAGACTCTTCCCCATTCTCGGCGGCTCATCGGCACGCAGTCGTCAATACTACAACTACGGCAGCGGCAACGAACTCAGGAACGTCAGTCAAAAACACAAGTCGTACAACTTGAACACGGCTATATCCAGCCCCCGTACAGAGTCTTTCGATACCAAGGTGGAAGATGGCATCAGAGTCAAAACTTCGTATCACGTGAAGCATAGCCATAGTCAAGGAGACACAGATGAGGCTAGCTTGGTAAGCTATGAGGGAAAGCAGAGACCATAGTACCACATCCGATACAGTAATGATCATGAGTATTTCGCATCACCTGACGCTCCCCACATGAACACATGTTACCTAGGTACTTTGATGAATGCCTCTGCCGACGCTGAAACCTATTCGAGACGAACTTCACCTTCAAACAGCTACTTGCGAAACGTAACTTTCCATACGCGTGGTAACTGCCGCTGATCGACAGATGCTGAAGCACCCACCTTTCGTTTTCTCGGTCGACCCATCAAAAGGGTAGCGCAGATCACCGGGATATCACCGACATCCTCGTGGAAGATCACACTAGTCCCACGTGTCGGCGATCTCTGTAAGCGATTGCGAAAAAGTCTAAACGGCGAACGGTTGGCGGCCTTATTCATTCAACCATCTGAGTATTGCGACAATTCCCATCACGGCGAAGGGTTCCATAGATGGCGTCTCTCAGGCACCCCTTTCAAGTGCTGCCGTCCCCACACACGAATCATCCCGTATCCGCAATTATGGCAAACACGGCCGAGCTGGGACGGGCTTTCGCGGTGGAATAAAACCGATGCGTCGTAAGTCTGCTATAGTTTGTGGTACGGCAGAGCTACGGGTCCGATGTGGGCCCGATCTCTGGGTAGCCGATTGTCGGCTGTCCGCAGATGGAGGCTGTTAGCAACGACTACTTACTGCTAGCGATGGCACTTGTCTTCTGGAAGAAAGACTAGTTAAGGAGATGATTACTCGAAATTAGCCTGTGACCTTTTCAACGTCCACCACCGAATCGGCGGAGTTGCCAAGTTTTGTGGCGGTTGGTACGTGCCCTGCGATTACGTTACAGTGGCTCAGGCGATGTCGCCATGTCGCATTCAACAAGCAAGGCGCTTGCCGACGTTGCGCTCACAATTTCGACTCGGACGAAGAATTTGCCCTGCGAATGCTGGAATCACAAAGATGCACAACTTCTTCCTTGGCGGCGTAGTGCCGGAAGACAGTGTCGTCATCAACATCGCAGCGGTGATCGTGCGACGTATTGCGTCTTTGAATCACGCCGAAAGTTTGCGCGCACGCATGCATGTCCTAAACTCGCACATCTAGCAATTGCGACTTGTCGCGATGTGTCGGGCGATCAAGTGTGATAGCCTCACGCGTAGGTCCAACTTATCTGCACTAAGTGTCTAGAGCAACACGTTTCACATGTCAACCAAACTTCCTAGATCAGCTAAAGAACTTACAGGAAAGTGCCGAAAGCATGTATCTCATGTCGGTATTGAAGCGAGCCCTGGAGGAAGATCTCATCGGTTCCTACTTACTCCGGCTCCCGCTTTCACATGACCTCGGGAGTAAGGAATTGACTTTTACGTTTGCGCCTCAACGCAGATCTCACAGTATACGAATGCGAGGCTTTAATAACATCCTCAAGACTGAGCGCAAACTACCGTTTCCAAATGCTACAGATACGCGCTAGCAATCTAGTGTCAGAAGTCCCTACATATGTCTGGTGGTACAGTTGACAGAGACTAGTGATGACGTGGAAAAAACGAACACAATTAACAGCATTATGCAATGTTCTGAAAATAAGCGACATGAATTTGAGAAAAGAGCAGATGTAGGGCTCTTGGAAGAAACGCCGGGAAGAGGTCTCTTATAAAGCTGAACAGTAGAGTGATCTCAGTGAGGTAACGGGCTTTCACAATACTATGTTCTCAGAATGATATCGCCGTTGTCTCGACCTAGCTGCTGTACTTCCTCATATATTACCAAGTCGCCGCAAGCTTCGTGGAAAGAGAGACGTTGACTGGAGTAGATTGCCATCATCATCTTCCTAGATACATGAGATAAATCACCTGGGTTCAGTGGGCGGGATGAGGCTGCACTCGCCTCAGTTTTATCGGACGACCTTGTGCAGATTTCTGCAGCTTCTGCTTCTCACCTTCAATAACATGACTCCATTGCGCACGCCAGCACAGCACCAACCATTAATCGCTTTGGATCCCTCTCTTGCTGTCTGTCACGGGGTGCAGTCTACTCGTCCGACAGCTATCGCTCATGAACTCGTATGTATATCTTGCGCGACCAGTCTCCATCGAAAGTTGCTCATGTCTCGCAGAGCAAAACCTACTCGGACATTCGCGCCACTGCCTTGGTCTACAACGGCCATCTTTCAAAGATGCAGGACCAGATACGCGATCTCACAGCTGAGAACACCATGATATTTGCAGGGAAGGACGCCGCTATCGCAGAGCTGAAACACGAAGTCCACGAACTGAGAATCCAGAACAAAGGTCTATCTTGCAGTTTGAAGGGAGAGACCAACAATCGGAAACTGGCCGTTGTATGTGCCGAAAACCTCACAAGACAGCATGACATCCAGGGCAAAGAAGTTGTGACGCTCAACGACAGGGTTACCGAACTTGAGGGTGAGTTATCTGGAGAGAAAGCAAAAAACGTTGCAGATAAAGGTGCGAACGAGAAGTTGCGTAGCATCAACGAAAAGTGCGCCGAGATTGCAATGCTTGTGGGCGAACACCCCGTAGATGGGTCTCTACTCGTGCTGCCGGCTGGATAGACAAAAGCGAGATGCGAATTGAGACGTCAAATGTCAAAGACGAGGCCATACCAGAGGACCGAGATGAACAATCCCATATCAGGTAGTTGGTGTGTGATTTGAACTTCCTCTTACCTTCACTTTTGCTTCCTCGATCATACCGCTGTCGTAGACCCCGTCCACTCCGTTTGCAGCATCTTAACCTAACTTTTCCCTTCAACTGGAGCTGCAGCCTAACAAAAATCTCTCATACCTCGTCTCCCTACAATATCGCAATCTCCCAGAGATGTCGAACAACCGTTCGCTCTCGCATGCGCAATGGTAGCGACACGACAAAACAATCGCGGTCGCAATCCATCTTTTCGAGAGCTTTTCCCCCGTCGCGACATCCATCCACCTACACCAATAAGCACAGTGAGTGAACGTGACGAAGGTATCTACGAATTAAACTGACAAGCCACAAGCCGCGTTCTACAGCGCACGCTGCCGCCGCGAGGTCTTCACTTACGGCGTTGATCAAAGACCTAAGGGCGCAAGAGCGACAAGTTCTCAGTCTGAGCAGCGCGCTTGATTCAGAGCGTACGGAGCATGAGAAGCATCTCGAAGACTTAGAAGCGACCTACGCGAGGGAGCTCGCAGCTGTTAACAAGGAACACACCCATCAATTTGCAGAGGTCGAAGTGCGTCATAGCCAAGAGCTTATACGGGTCAAGCTGTGGTGTGTGATGAACTCACCAAGGACAAACGAATTATCGCGGGTCCTCGAAAGGCAGCGGAGATTAGCATTGGAAGCCGAAGCGGAGAAGACGAAAGAAGAGGCGGAGGTGAGACATGCACGGCAGGAGGCTAGAATCCAGGAACTGGAGCGCGAGAACGACCAAGTCAAGCATCAGTTGGCAAGTATGCAGGAATATCCACGATGCAGAAGAAGCACGCGCAGAGAAGTGTGTGAAGACGATAATGTCATAATGCCTGCTCCTCCTCCGAGTGAGACCAACTCAAACCCAGAGGACTAAGACAAGAGTAAAGAACTAGCTACAAGGAAGGAAACGTATACAAAACAAAGTAGAACAAAAAAACGATGCAACGAATGCAGACCCATGGGTATCGTCGCGATGAACACCAAATCAAAACCAAGCCAAACCAAAAACTCCAATGCTCAAAAACGTGATAAGAGCCAAAACAAACGCCCAGCACTCAAGATGCATGGTCTCATGCTCTCGGTCTTATCGCTAAAAACTCAAATGCGCAACACCGTGTCATGTGGAATCGTAAATGCGATATTGCGTCTTCTTCTTCTTCTTCTTCTTCCTCCTCCCCTCCTAGTCGTTGTGGTATTGTAGAATTAGACCGCAATAAATGACAAGTCGTCGTAGTCCTCACCAAGCATGGACAGGTGGACGAAGTCCTCCTCGGCTTGCTCCAAGGCCACCTTATGGCTATGTGCGCGCTCTTCCCAGCCTAGGCTGATGCCACTGAGTTCGATAGCCGACATCTTAGGTCGGCCAGCACCATGTGCGTTCGGGATTTGATATGTTGGGTTCTCCTCGAGCACTGGGCTTGATGGATCATAATCGTCGGATTCATCGTCATCGAGGTAAAGTCCCTCATAGATTTTCTTGGTATCTTTGTCGATATGCTTGTAGGTGGCCAGATCGACCAACGTCTCGCGCAGGTTCCATTGGAATGCAAAGTTGTTTTCACGCTTGCGCAGCCAATGGTTCTCATTCTCGAGGGCGTCGAGCATAGTGTTGAGCTTGCTGGGATGAGCGAACGGGTCATGCTCTTCCCGAGGTTGTTCGACTGGAGCGGTAGTGGTCTCCATGGCATGTCCTGCGTCGTTTGGCGCATGCTCGTCGGCATTGGCCAAGCGCTCTCTCAAAGCCTCAATCTCCATCATCTGGGATCGGTTCAGAGCCTGAAGATCCATAATCTTATCATGACGACTCGTGAGCTCTTCTTGGAGAGCCTCGAGACCTTCGGTCTTGCTGGTAGCATCTTTGATCTTAGCCATCAAGTGCTCGATTTCGAGCTCCTTGGTAGCGATGACTTGCTCTCGCTCGTGAATCTTCAGGACAGTGGCACGATGCTCAACGGTAAGAGTTTGCAGCTGGCGCACAGCCTCGTCGTCCTTCTTTCGTCCCGCCTCAACCTCCTTCGCCTTTTGAGCCCAGGGCGTAGGTCCATGCTCGATCTCAATGGCTTTTGATAGTATGCCAACTTGGTCGGCCCAGGCATTTAGATGGATAGTAAGACTGCTCAGGTGGGCAAACATGAAAGTATAATTCTGATCATCATCGAGGTTATCGATGCTGTCTTTGATCACGCGGAGCTCACGAGCAGGGATTGGCTCGGTGTCGGATAGGCTGGTGCACTTCGCAACCTCCTCGATGAGGCTGCAGACGAAAGCGGCAAGGGTTCCAGCAGCCGATGCCAGTTTTTCGTCGTATTTGATAGCCTCCTCGAAATCATGTGGTTGTTCAGGGTACATGTGATCCTGAGCCAGAGCCTTCAGAGTCCGCAGCAACTTGGCCGCTGCCGTGGATGTAGCCTGCAAAGTATCTACTGGCTCGTTGAAATGGACGAGCATCTTTGCGCACTCCTCGCGTATGCTCTCGGGCACTTTCTGTAGGACAAAGTGTGCCAAATCGTAAATGTAGAGGATATAATTTATCCTCGCGTGGAGAGATGTCGCCATGGAGAGGAATTCCCCCTCTGGTCGTGCAGCAAGGACCTCTTGGTGGCTTGACAGAATTGCTTCATGTGTCTTGGTCGATCGCTCCAGGGACCCAGCAAATTCTTCAAAGTTGAGTGTGTCTGCCTTGAGAGCGTTGAGGCCTTGATCAAGAACCTGCTCTACCGAGATCAGTTCCTGGTACGTCGGGCCGAAATTGGCGAATTCGGCCAAAGACAAGCCACGAATGGCAGACCAGAGACGGTTGCTGCCGTCTCTCAGGACCTCCAGGTGAACGATGGACTCTTCGCAGACGAGTCTGGAGACGGCATCGTCCAATCGACCGCCATTGCTCATGTGGCGACAGGTGCTCCTCAAGACATTGACAAGCAGGTCGGATTTCCCGGCGATCCTTTCTGTGGTGAGATACGCTTGGAGAGACTCGCTTCGAGTGAACTCCTTGGACTCTGTCTCGTTCCAAATCTCGAGCTTTTCAGCGAGCTGATCTGCCCTGAGCGACACCAGCGAAGATTCAATCTCTCGTGTGGTCGACAACACAGTGGCTGCACGAAGTTGGCGATTCAGGTCCATAACTTCGTTAAATCGACCAGTGGTGTCCTTGACTTGAGCTTCCGTCATAGTCTTGGAAGACTCAGCGTCAGCCATTTTGGTTTGTAGGTCCATGACGAGGTCTCGGAATTTGGAGATCAAGGACTCCTGGTCGGCGATGATGCTGGTCTGTTCAGTAATTTGGCGTGTTTGCTCTGCGAGCTCGCTGTTCTTAGCTTCAAGCTCCGCAAGCATGTCCTCTTCTTGCTCAAGGTGTTGAGCTTCTAGCTCGTCGTTGAGTTCCCGTAGGTTCTCAAGATCTTGTACAACCAGATCCTGCTCCGCGATTCTATCTTGGAGGTTTTGGTTTTGTTGGGTCAACTCCTCGACCATCTCCTCCCATTCATTGGCAGCGTCCAACTGTTGCTTGAGGTGATCGACGAGGTTTTCGGATACAGAGAGACGTTCTTGGAGGTTCGCGTTATCTTGTCGGTAGTACTCAAGCTGTGAGACATCGGCCTCGAGTCCGAGAATGTGTGCCTTGAAGTCTTGTTCCCGCTCCTCTGTCATCTCCTTCAGAGTGATCAACGCCTGTCGCATGCGATCATTCTCGTGCTGGAGACGGTAGTATCCAGCCTCTTGCTTCTGGTCCTCTGACATTTCAGTTGTGAAGAGGTCGGCCTCATCGCGAAGAATGTCCAGCTCCAGTGTCTGCTCTTCTAGACGCTTGCGCAACGACTCGATTTCTGCCTCAGCTTGGTCCGCCCGCTCCTCAGCCATCTCCTTGTCCACCAAGGCATCCTCCAAGTCCACCTCGTGGTCCTGGTGTGATCTGTTGAGAGCCTGTTGTTCTAACTGGAGTGTGTTGACCTTGTCCTTGAGTTCTTGGATTTCGGTATATTGGGCTTGACACTTGTTCTGTAGCCGCTGGATGATGCCGCTGTAACGCTCTTTCTCGTCGCGAACCTGAGCATACTCCCTCAGGCGCTCTTGATCTTCCGCGTGTTGCTTCTCGAGATGCCTAATCTTGGTGTGCAGATTTTCGACGTTATTATCGCGCGATGCTTTCCCAGCATTGCTATTGACTGAAGATGCAAGACTCGGTCTTGAGGCTGATGGTGTAGGACGAGAGGATTCGGGACGAGACGGTTCTGCGCGGGAGGATTCGGGTCGAGAAAATGGAGTGCGAGAGGATTCAGCGGCAGAGTTGCTTGATGTGCTCGCCACGCTGGCCTTGCGAATTGGGCCACGCGAAGGCGGTTGTGTTGTTGAGGGAGCTGCGACTGACTGCCGCTTGCTCAATGTGGTTGTCCTTGTAGTGGTTGTAGGCTTAGGGGCGACCACGCTGGATGGACGCGCTCTGGGTGTGGTCGGTGGTGCCTTTGTTTTTGAGACCGCTCGTGGGGTAGGAGGAGCCGGTGCGGGTGCTGCCTCAGAGAGGATGCTGACAATGCTAGTGTCGCGGATGAAGAGGCCGTGAAGAGGTGCGCAAGTGAAGTATCGCTCTCCGCGTACGGAGCCATCGTTCTTGCCAGTAGCAGTTGGGAGTTCTATTCCCACAAACTGTCCCTCTGAGACGTGGATAGGACCCAGGTAGCGGACGATGCCGTCTACACCGCCAGAAGTCTCGACCGTCTGGCCGAGCTTCAGGTTGAGGGTAGTCATGACTGCTGGAGACTACCCAGGAGCAATGCTGAGAGTGTTGAAAGAAGCAGTGGCAGACAGCGTGGTGACTGAGTGCAATGTGGTTGCCTGACGCGACGCGTCGAGAAGCAGCTGCGCGGGAGGGGGGGGGGGGGAGCAATTGCGAACAATTGACTCAGCTGAATTGTGAAGAGTGCAGAGCAGAAGAAGCAGATACGCAACAATGCAGTAGCAGCGGTTTGAGAGTGTTGTTGTTGTTGTGGAAAGTGGCATGGGGCAGCTGCAGAAATTGTGGTGTACAGGTGAGAAGGGAGGAGCGAGGTGGCCTGCTTTTCGGTGAGGGCTGGCTTGGCGCGGCGATGGCTCGGATCAAGACGCTAAACCTCGGACGCGTCTCGGAAGAACCGCTGTTCGCGCTAGAGGACCCTGAGGAGCGGGAACGCCCGACGCTAGCCCATCTGAGCGCGTTCGAGCGCGCTCAACCGCGACTTTCGATTTGACATGACGCCCACACTGGCATCTGCGCCCTTTTCCAGCCATCATGTATAGAGATAGGAAAAGCGTTGAAGTGATTTTCTGCCAGCCACGCCCGACTACGCGCCTAGACGTGTATGAGTTTTGCTACCACGTACATTCCGTGCCACGCCTGTTGCGATGTGTAGTATATGATGATGTTGTCTATGGGAGCCGTTCTTTTCAGATTCAAGGTTCCGCTATGATTATTTCGCCACCTACTTAATGTTTCCTCTGAGTGTTCATGCGCCTCGTGCACCCAAGATGCCTTCCACGCGCGCGCTGCATGACTCTCAAGCTATACTTCTGTCGTGTTCTGCCTTGCCCTTAGAGATGCAGTCGTTAACATCATGCACCTCACCGCCATGCTTTCACCATTTGCTTATAAATGCATCCATTCCTGATCAGCATTACATGTGTGTATGTATTATCTTGTGGGATATCACGCGGTGAACTTGCGAAGCGATGCCATCTCGTTGCAGTGCGCGATTTCATACATTCCATGCAAGATATGATACAACTACACATAGATCCGCTGCTAACACATGCCAGCGCCTATCAAACTAGTCCGACAACCTCCATCCACATCCGTTACCGCGAAGCTTCCAACTCCCTGATCCTCTGCTCAATATCCGGGACAGCCCTGAGCTGCAGATCGATATCTTCCTTCTCACTGTCATAACATTAGCACGAATTCTCGCCTCTTCTAGAGAGACCATCAGCACCCTAAGTGAAAAGAGAACTTACTCTTCAAGTACCGCCCTTCTCTCCGCATCCAACCCTCCAAAGTAGAATCCACCTTGGCCGTCAAACTGCAAGATCCTAGTATGGTACCTCCAAAGACTTCTCCGATGACTGACTGTCATGAGCGTTATACCCAGTCTCTTCGCTTCCTCATACATCACCCTTTCTACCTCCAGTGTAACAGAGCTTGTGCACTCGTCCAGGATAGCGTACCGGGGTTTGTGGTAGAAAAGTCGCGCCATTGCGACGCGTTGTTGGAGACCACCGGAAAGCACGTCTTCCCATTGCGCTTCAGCGTCGAAGCCGCCGGGGCGGTCGATGAGGGATTCTAGGTTCAGGGTCTCGAGAATCGAAAGGATGTCGTTATCGGTGATGGATTTGGAATGCATGTCGTGCAGCGAGTCTGGGTATATGATCTGTTGACGCAGCGTTCCGCGCGAGAGGTATGGACGTTGCGGGATGTAGAAGATGTCTTCGAATGGTGGCTTTCGTACTTTGCCGCCGTATACGGGCCAGAGGCCACCTAGGATGCGGAACAGACTGCTTTTCCCGCAGCCATTTGGTCCAACGATGAGGAGATGGTCTCCTGGCTTCACGCTGAAGGAGAGCTTGCGCACGAGCACATCGCCGTTTGGAGATACTATAGGCACGTCGATGAACTCTATATCCGTGCCTTCAGTTACGGTACCGCGACCGCGTAGGACGGATGCGTTTTCCTCAGTGTCGGCGGAAGAAACGAGCTTCTTCTCGAAATGACCGGCTTGTATGTCGTCGATTACGTCAAGGAGGGTTGATACGCGCGAAGTATAGCCGGCAAGTTCGGTGATCTCCTTGTACGAGAACATAACGCGACCGAAAGCGTCGCTGGACATGAGGAGCATTCGCCGGTTGGTGACGAAGCCTATCATAATCGCACTTGTCAGCAACTATCCTCTCGCCAAATGAAACAAGGGATGCGGATGTTATGTACTCACTTTCCGTCCGATCTCCCATAGTCATACCGCCTGTTCCGGGCACCTTGAAGAACACTGGCACACTGCAGAGTAGTAATCCCAACGCACCCCAAAAGTACTTTATCACAAAGTCCTCCATGACCCCGTGATAGAACCTCCTCCTCAGAATCCGGTTGACATGCTTGATCAGCGTGAAGTATCCCTTATCCAAGGTATCCTTCTCCGCCTCATGTCCTGCATACAACGCCACCTCCTCGCTCCAATCGATCAAGCGGGAGTGCTGGAATCTGAATTCACCCTCTAACCTCGCTTCATCCGCTACGTATTTGCCAAAGGGCGGGGTGAGCGCTCTCATGACATTGGCCGAGATCTGAACCAGCAGGCTCATGAAGAACAGCCCTTCGCCACCAACGCTGCGCGAGAGCGAGTAGTTGTATATTATGATGTCTAGTACTGGCTTCGCAAGATTCGAATAGAGTTCGGCGAGCGAATTGGAGAACTTGGATACATCGACAGTTATAAGTTGGTCGGCGTTTGCGATGCGATCGTCGAGGGCAGAAAGCGTATAGAAGGTCATCTGTGAAAGGTATTTGGAATGGATATGATTCGTGAGGCGCGTTCGATATTGGAGGGAAAGTTTGCACTGGTGATACGAGAGCTGGATTTGTTAGCATATCTTCGGCTACCTATTGGCTACTGCGGCCTCATCGCCTCGCTCTGTGGTTATAGAATAGGAAGTCTGACATACCATACTGTTCGTGAATGTCGCCGGTACGGCCACTGCCATCCACCAGACCAGTCCCAGGAGGAACTCTCTTCCTTTCCCTCTAACCAGCGCACTAACCAGTCTTCCGTCCAGTTCCGCAACATACAAACTGATCATCGTCCTCAACACCAAAAACACACTGTGTCCGATCAGGAGCCTGAACTCCTTACTCTTCCATCCAGGTATGCATATTTTCAACAACCTCAGCAGGTTCTTGAAGAACTCTCTATTCAGCTCTACCTTCTTCCTCCCCGTTGCTTCACCCTCGCCTGCTGTTGTCTTATCCGCTGTTTTGGAGGCACGCCGTATGGAAGCGGCCTTCTGCTCGGCAATTGCATTCCGTATGCGGTTTATGAGGGCGACGAAGAGAGTGAGGTAGACGGCGCGCGATATGCGTGTTCGGTGCTGGAGGTACAGCCGTGTGAGGTCGTTAACTATAGCTTTGGCAGACGCGCTGGTGAGGCGGTGGGAAGAAAGCGGTTTCGAAAAGACAGCCATGGCTATCGTGGACGAGGCATTGGTCTTATGCGAGAGGTTGACGCTGTGCGTAGAGCAGTGTGGCGTAGCGGTTTGTGGTGGCCGATCTCAGTACATACGCAGTGTTGTGGAATGCGTAGTATCGTAGTCTGACCGGTTACATATGCCGTTGCGACAGGTTTCTAAAGTGCAGTATCGCACGCGCCGGCTGTGATGTTTGGTAGATCAGCACGTCGCACAAGGTGTCACAGTGCAAGCCTCACCTGCGACATGTGAACGAATGCCTCGGCTTCCCCACAAATCGCCTAACCGCATTAAGCCTTAGGCTGGGGAAGCTTTCACATGAACGAATGGAGCACATACGATTATAATACTGGACTGGATTTCGCATATGATTTTGATCTGTTACGAAACACAACACTGGCCTTCGCAGCGTCCTTCTAGAATACGAGTCCTTCACAAAATAAGCTGTGATTAACCGCATTTTCCTGAGCTGATGTACAAAAACCTGACCCGAAAGTCCCTCGCAAAACTCACACAAGTTCCAGAGCATTACTTCGTGTCCTTGGAATCGCCCGTATGTTTCTTCGCCGTCTTCTCCGCTCCATACTCTGGAGCCACCTTTCCCGGTAGACCCTTGACGAATCCACCAATATCCAAACCCTTCATCTTCTGCTGTGTAACCTGCATCCAGCTTTGCTCTTGCTTCTTCTCAACAGCCTGCTCCAGCTCCTCTTTCTCCTTCTCTTCGTCACATTCTCCCTTGCTACCTTCATTCTTCGCCCTCTCCTCCTCTTCCTTCTTCTTTTCCTTTGCTAGATCAGCCTCAGCACGCTCCACTTCTTCGATATCAACGTCTTCGAAGCCGATCTTGCGAAGTATTGAACCTGTAATGAAGCGGTATTGGAGGTGCCCATCGACAAGGTCGCTGACATCAACGTTCTGCACACCATGTACGCCAACGACAGGCTGTAGACCCGCGACACCAAGTTGCATAGAAGATGTGCGGTATAGGAAGCCAAGGATATAATCTGACTTGGAGAAGACGTTGACACAACGGCCACTCACTACAGAGCGGATGCGCCGCCAATCGGCAACGTCGGATGGGCATGGAGCGCCGACGAGGACAACGTTCTCAACAAGTCCAAAGGCTTTGCGCTCGGCCAACTTCTCAAGGCAGGAAAAGATGAGGCGTGCGCCGAGAGAGTAGCCAACAAGAGTGACCGGTCGTTCGCCTTGAACTTTGTTGATGAGTGCATCTGCGAGGACCTCACCAGCCTTCTCGGCGCGATATTTAGCCTTCGAGAACGGATTGTCCAGCAAAGTTGCAATCTTCAGCAAGCCCAGTGGCCACATTGCAGCCGTCATCGCAGCGAAGACCGTCTGCTCGATGATTTTCTTCTTTGCGTAACCCCAAGCAGCACTAGTCACGAATGTCTCGAGACTATGTCCGAGCTTGAGAAGAGCTTCAAGCTCCCAACGAAGTGCGAAGCCTTCTGTCCCTGTACTGATATATCTCCATGGCTTCGATACCTCTTCAGGGTCGCGCAGCCAACCAGAGACAGCGATAGCGACCCGGAGGCGACGAGACTCGTTGTCCTGTTTCCTGGGATCCTGGTTGCGATGGATTGGGATGAATGCAAAGTCCTCGACCTGTCGGGCGTAGTCGTCCATGGCTCGTCCTGTCATCTTCGCACCATACGCACCAAACAGCCCGCCCACAAGAACGGAAGAACCAGCAAGAGTACCGAGATACCCTGCAGCTGCTGTAGCACCCAGGCCAATCCCACCCATAACACTTCCAACACCCGCCGCAAGGAGCGGTGCAGCAAGCCCACCAGTGACACCAATCAACGCCGCACCAGCAACCCCAGCAAGGCCGACCTTCCATCTACGAGCATTCTGTGACTTCTCAGCCGCTTCCTTGGTCTCGGCGTCAGCATTAAGCTGCTGGGACGCTGCCTCCAAAAGACCTTGGGCAACGGTCTCCTCATCCTTCTTCAGGACGTCTCTACTCAGCCTGAGAGAACTTGTGAGGTAGAGATTCAGGACGCGAGAATGTGCCGAGTAGTGCTCCAGACTTAGAAGTATGAGCACCAGCGAATGTAGTATGAGTGCTCGCTTGCTCTCTTCCAACTGAGTGAGAGCGTTGGGAACAGGTGGGTAAAGGGCATTGAACATTTTGTCCTCGTCTTCATCCTTCTCATCGAGCTTCTTGATGCTCTTCAGACCAGTCTCGGATTTCTTTGCGATTTGTTCGACTTTCTTGTCTTCGACTTGACGTGTCTGCTCTTTGGCCTTTTCTTTCGAGTTGACTACCTCGCCAATTCTGCTGATGACGCTACCTCGCCAACCATCAAAGTATTTCAACATCTCCTGCTTCAGTTCTTGGACTTCAGGTTGTGCGAGCTCCTTCCTTGCATCTTCCTCACGCGCATCCCTCTCTTTCTTGATCTTGTCTTCCTTGGCAACATCGACATCGTCGAGATTGGAAGGCGCATCTTGCAGTATTTCTTCCTCCGACTTGGCAGTGTTTGAGTCGATTGGAAATTCCTCTGCGGTAAAGGTATCGACAAGGGACTGTCGCATAGACGCTGTAATAGTCGCTATCAACAAGGTTAGATCCGCGCATTGGTCTGCGTCGAGAAGTGTGGTAAGCGATGTTTCGTCCTTGTCCTCGGATTTGGAATGACCCAAGGAGGTCAGCTTAGACGCCCAACCCGACATGACTGTAGGAAAAGAAGGCTCTGAAGTCAGTGTTGTGGTTGTGGAGTGGACGTCCAGGGGTATGTACTTGAACTGAGCAGGGTAGAGCGTCGCTGCCTAGGTATGACGTATAGTGGGGCAAGAGCTGCGAACAGTCCAGTGTCATACTAACGTCGAAGATCAGCCGGACTTTCGCTGTCCGAACTAGAGTTCCCTTACATTGCAGGCTCCTCTAGATGACCTAGGTAAATATCACCTGGCAGAGAAGAGCGTAATGCTCATGCGCAGCAACACCGTAGATCTGATACACACTCACATATTACGTTCGTTACCCGCGAATTTCCAATGTATTTATGATCTTATGAACCTACTCTACCGGCAGGTATCGGCGGCGCGTTCCTTCCTCCCACGGGGAAGTTCCTCGCACTCAAAAACACGCCCTTGACAGACCTAATGTCATTCTTCAGCACCTCAATCTGATCATTCTGTGCAGTGCTACTTTGACCAGACCAGTTGTAGGTCGCTCCAAAGCGGCCCATGCCAGGGTAGTATTGGTTTTGGTAGTCCATTTCAGTCAGGTATGAAGTCAAGTCTGACACCTTCGTCCGCAATCCATCCCTTGATTTGCCGTCGTTGGTACGGTTCGTGTCGAGCTCTTCAAGATGTGACTTTATAATCTTGAGGCGGTTTTCGTGCGCTGTTACGGTTGGGTGTGGGTCTGTAGAGGTAGACGGTCGGCGGGAGAGATTGGGTGTAGTTTGGGTGCCGTAGTCGCGATGGTAAAGCTCAGTGGGATCGGAGTCGGCCTCTGAGACATCGTCTGCAGCATCTGTAACCGCTTTTACCTTGCTAGCAGGGTCCACAGATACTGCCTTCTCCAGTCTTGTGTTCAGCTCCTTCAACTGTTCTTGCGTGTGCGATGCGAAATCGTGTCTTGATTCGGCGAGGGTGTGTGTCATGGGCGCAATGATCCACTTCGAAAGCCCATATATGCTCGCCATCAAGCCACCTGTTACGTATGCGGTTGTTACGAGGCGCTGGGTGGTTATGAGTGGTGGTGGCTTTTCGGTGTTCGCGAGGAACTCTGGGTAGGTGACGATCGGGGGTATTTCGCGTGGCTGAATGATGACTTCGCGTGGCTGAGATGTGACTTCGCGTGTATCGGTGGGCTTTGGAGGCGTCTATGCACGTCAGTATCTTTCTTCTGTGATACTGTCGATGATCTAGGCTTCATGCGCTCCAACCGTAGGGTTTCTGCACTCACTGTTGACCACGACCGCTCTCCAGCTGCTTCAAGCTCTGTGTGTGTGCTCTCTTGTGGCTCTTGACCTAGCAGAGTCTCGATGTCCTCAGGGCTCACTCCCTTTGACTGCAGGAACGCGACCTTCTTCTCCCGCGGCGCATCGCGGATTGTGTCATCCTCGAGAAAGCGCGACGCTTGATCTAGTAGTTCTGAGCTTTCTGATGGTTGCTCTTCCTTGTCATCTTTCTCAACGTCGTCTTCGGTCGGTGTTGGGGCTTCGACAGCGTGTTGCGCGCGTGCTTCTTCGGGCTCGGATGACGCTGCAGCGTTATCGGCTGTGGCGCGTTGCCATTCGGGTATCGCGGGCTTGTTTGGCATTATATATAAATTGAAGGATCGCTTGGAAGCGGTATCAGGTGTTGTGAACGCGAGACGAAGGCAGGGGCGGTATTGGGCGTGATGATGGATTGCCCGGGAAAGATGGCTGGACCGAGGCAAGAGCCCCAGATTCCGCCTTTCCTCTTTAGTCACGCATTGAGCATCACGGCCATCTCCAGGGCTGCATCTTTTGAACAGTCCAACCACCTCTTGGTTTGCTATCGTAAGTCTATGATTCTAGAAACCTGTCTCGGTGTTTCCCTCGCCCATACTCTTGCTGCCTGAGCTGCCGCTCTGTATCGCTCCCAAAATGCCGTCAATGTATCCTGCGCCAGACCATTTCTGATGCGTGAGTACATCACAGCCCAGCTCTTTCTCTCTTGCTTGCACCAACTTGACATACGCAAGCATACCTTCATCCTTAAACGCCCTGCTTAATTCGCACGTAATCGTGGCAGTAGAGTGTACTCCGGCAAGCGAGATGAGCTGGAAGACGAATCCGTGTTTCGCCAGATCCCAGACAAATGACTTGAGCGCTTCTTCGGAGAAGCCTTGGCCCATCCAGTTGAAGCTGGGAGAGAGGTTGTATACAAACTTCTTATTAGGGTGAACTGCACGAATCTCGCCGGCGAACCTGGCGGCTTCTTGCACGTTCGGATCGCCCGTCTCGACCCAGAGAAGATCTGCGTATGGAGCGTATTCTTTGCCGCGCTTGGTTGCGGCAGCGACGCCGGCTTTGTAGTGGTAGAAGCCCTCACGCGTACGGGGGATATCCCAGTTGAAGTACACAGGTGTTTTGGTGTACTTCTCTGCGACTTTCCGGCGCTTGAGAAGAGAGTAGTCCGGGTTCTGCTTGGTCTCGTTGAGGTATGAGTCGATGGTTGATTGAGATGCACTCTCTTTTTCGAGATGCTGG